TTGTGCCTGTGAGTCATGTTCATTGTACAAGTAGTGCTCTGTGAGACATGTTCATTGTACAATTAGTGCTCTGTGAGTCATGTTCATTGTACAAGTAGTGCTCTGTGAGTCATGTTCATTTTACAAGTAGTGCTCTGTGAGTCATGCTTCATTGTACAAGTAGTGCCTGTGAGTCATGTTCATTGTACAAGTAGTGCTCTGTGAGTCATGTTCATTGTGCAAGTAGTGCCCTGTGAGTCATGTTCATTGTACAAGTTATACCCTGTGAGTTATGTTCATTGTACAAGTTGTGCTCTGTGAGTCATGTTCATTGTACAAGTTATACCCTGTGAGTCATGTTCATTGTACAAGTAGTGCTCTGTGAGTCATGTTCATTGTACAAGTAGTGCCCTGTGAGTCATGTTCATTGTACAACTAGTGCTCTGTGAGACATGTTCATTGTACAAGTTATACTCTGTGAGTCATGTTCATTGTACGAGTAGTGCTCTGTGAGTCATGTTAATTGTACAAGTAGTGCCCTGTGAGTCATGTTCATTGTACAAGTTATACCCTGTGAGTCATGTTCATTGTACAAGTAGTGCCCTGTGAGTCATGTTCATTGTACAAGTAGTGCTCTTTGAGACATGTTCATTGTACAAGTAGTGCCCTGTGAGACATGTTCATTGTACAAGTAGTGCCCTGTGAGTCATGTTCATTGTACAAGTAGTGCCCTGTGAGACATGTTCATTGTACAAGTAGTGCTCTGTGAGTCATGTTCATTGTACAAGTAGTGCCCTGTGAGACATGTTCATTGTACGAGTAGTGCTCTGTGAGTCATGTTTATTGTACGAACAGCACTAAGTGAGTAATGTGTATTGTACAGGTGGCTTCTCTGTAAGTTTTTTACTGTACGAGTGGTGCTCTGTGAGTTATTTTCATTGTGTATAAATTGTGTCTAGTGTGCGTCATGTCGGTGTGCGAATTATGTCCTGTATCGCCATGTCTGTATTGTGAATTGTGTCCTTTGTGTGCGTTTTCATGTAGTGGTGTTGAATTGTTTCCCGTATGCGTTCAAAATGTCGGTGTTACGAAATGAATTCCTGTATGCGCCACGTCTCTTATGGGAAAATTGTGTTGTGTGTTGCGTCATTGTTTTAGGTTGTAATTGTGCCCTGGTGCGCCATGTCTGGTATGTGAATTGTGTCTTGTGTGCGCCATGTCAGTGTGTGAATTGTGTCTTGAGTGCGTCATGTTAGTGTGTGAGTTGTGTCCTGTGTGCGTCATGTCGATGTGCCAATTGTGTCCTGTGTGCATCATGTCGGTGTGCGAATTGGGTCCAATGTGTGTCATGCATGTCGGTGTTTGAATTGTGTCTTGTGTGTGTCATGTCGGTGTGTGAGTTGTGTCCTATGTGCGTCATGTCACTGTGTGCGTCATGTCGGGGTGTAAATTGTGTCCTGTGTGCGTCATGTCGGTGTGTGAGTTATGTCCTGTGTGTGTCATGTCGGTGTGTGAGTTGTGTCCTGTGTGCGTCATGTCACTGTGTGAGTTGTGTCCTGTGTCATGTCACTGAGTGAATTGTGTCCTGTATACGCCATGTCTGTATGTGAATTGTGTCTTTTGTGCGTCATGTCGGTGTGCGAATTTGGTCCTGTGTGTCATGTCGGTGTGTGAGTTGTGTCCTGTGTGCGTCATGTCACTGTGTGAGTTGTGTCCTGTGTCATGTCACTGAGTGAGTTGTATCAGTGTGTGTCATGTCAGTGTGTGTGTTGGTGTGTGTGCGTGTGTGCGTGCGTTCGTGCGTGTGTGTGTGTGTGCGGTGTGTGTGCGTGCGTGTGTCAGTTGTGTTCTTAATAACTCCAGAAGAAATAACTATATTTTATATTAACCTTCAATGTTGAAATTGCCATTACAAGAGTCATTTTTATTATTTTATCATACGAAAGATTGTTAGTATTTTTAGTGGAGTAGCGATGGATCGAACTCGAAACCCCTAGACTTGTAGTCAGACAGTGTTACCACTGCACCACAGCGCCCGCTCTGATATATAACTATTTTGGAAGTCCCTATATACATTATCACATTAGTGACTATGCAATTGAATTTTCACACCTAAGCAGGTAATATAGCGGTAAGGTCTAAAGAATTTGACAATGGCCCTGCTCGAGGGGTTATGATAAAGAGCGGATAGTAAAATGAAAGCAAGTAAGACTGTCTACACGCAATGAAAAAAAAATTCATTAATTCTATTATTTTTCTTTCTTCAGTTTCGTTAATGTTTAACTTTGCAATAGGACATGCACCAGGGTGTTAACAAACCAATTTTAAAAAAAGTAAAATGACGATTTTAATACACATCGATACTATTTATAATTAGCTTAGCTGGAAAAAAGACAGTTATGTTTATAAAACAGAAAACATCTTTTTAACAATCTTCTTAGCAAAAACATATTACGAAAAATCTATTTATACATGTTGTAAAATTAGAAACAATTCCGACGAGCAACCGGTTCTTTGATTCAAATGAATTTGTGTTAAAAGAAATTAGATCGTATTTATGCTGAATGACCATTCAGTGAACTTGTGTTAAATGAAATTAGATCGTATTTATGCTGAATGGCCATTCAGTGCAAAATTCTTCAATCAAAAAGGCCCCTCCTGTTTGACAGGGTATACTTAAAGCAGCACGTTTCCAGATTTATGCTTATTTTCATAAATATTTTAAAATTGAAATTAAATGTAAAATAAAGTACAGTAACCAAAAGGAAGCAATTTACACATTATCAATGGCACTTACAACCCAATTTAATTAAAAAATATTCAACAAAAAATCCCTCAATGCGTTAGTAACGCAGTAGAAATATAGTTACACATAATGAAAAGTTCACCATAATCGCCCATAACATGTAAATTATTTCTTGACCCTTGAATCTTTCTACTTTTCCTAAAATCTTAGTACCATTTTCACAAGTTTGATTTATTGAAAAGTTTTGCTCATCTGGAGGCATATTGCTTTATTTAGCAATATAAAGTAACAGAGAAGCCTATATATCATTGTGATCCAGTAGTACATGTAAGACTGACATGAAATCACCGGTTCTGGAATAAAATATGTACTCTTATTTAGCAATTCTATATCACAAAATATGATATTTCTTTTTTTTAAATACGTGAACATACTTTTAAAGGGACTCGACTGAGGTTTCATGACATAACCGGACAAGAAACAATTTTCCGAGATTTTTTTTTTATAATAATTTTATGTAGGCCCGTCCCACTAATGTTCTTGTTTGCAAAATTTTAGACCATTCGCTCACTTCGTTTTACCGGAAGTAAAAATGACCTAAGGATAACAAGCGATTAAACATATTAGGCCTAGAATCGCACACTATATCAATTTCAGTTAATTTATTGTATTTATTTTCTACATTTTTTCCGTTATAATTGTCTAAGTTTATCAATGTTATGTTTTCAGCATTAAAGGGATACTCAGGCAAATTTATGGCAAAAATATCAAATTTATCTTATGTACTCGAATCACGCTAAAATGACATTTGTAAAAGTCCCAGCAAGATTTTCTGTAAATATTCTATATATTTTAGGTTTGAAGCGTAAAAATATCTATATATGTTGAAAGAAATTTAGACGCCGACAGAATCACCGAGTAGTTTTAAAACTAGTAATGTGACTTGAACAAACCATGGAAGTTACAATAACAGATATTGTAGATGTAGTATTATTGAAACAAACCTAAATCATTCATTTGACATGTTCTTTAACGTTTCCAGATATCACTGTGACAATTATTGTGAAATCTTAACGCTCTAACCTGACCCGCGTGGGTCAGGTTAGGAAACCATCGTTTTATTCTTTATAAGGAGAAAAGTTTTGTTCCTGTGACTGCCTAGCGTATTCATTTTGAGGACATTTACAGATAAATGACTGAAAATTCAAAACGAAGAAATGAAAATTTTGCCTGTGTATCCCTTTAACGTTTTGAGCATTGTCGGAACCCACGGTACACATTCCGTATATGCTACATTAAATGCTTGTGTACGGTAAATAGCCTAGGTTGCCGCGGATACGTTTTGAGCTTTTGGACTTCAGGGGAGCTTTTTTAGATATTTATATTTCAGCTGAATGTGTCGGTAAGGTATTACCACTCCTGTAGTCACTACAATGAACAGAAAATTGACAACAAACATGTAACATCATTTGTATGCCTTAAAAAGACACTTTTAAAAGAAACATTTATCGTACGGTAAGGTAGCTATGGACACTTGTCTTAGATAAAAACTTGGATGTTACAAGCGCTCTTTTAAGATATAAGAGAACTCTAAATAATCTATGATATCATCCTTATGAATAAATGAAAATTTTGTCCCTATTGATAATTATTATTAGAAACAAAATTTATAACAATACCGTTCAACTTACAAAGGACTTAAGTAATATTTTTTTTCTCAAACTGTTTGAAATAAACTTAAAATTGTTACCCTATCCCACCCCTTTAAAACACTTATTTTAATAATTTCTAATTTAAAAAATAACCCAATTATAGGGCTGTTTCAAAAAATTGGTCAAAATTTTCTCAGAAGTATATTGATTGGATCTTTTTCAAATTTTATATAGATTTTTCTTGTAGTTTTCATTTAATTATACTTTAAAAAAAGTGTACTAAATTTGTAAATGAATCTGGCATTAGTTAGCCAATAAATACCTATTATAATTATATAATTAAAATCAAGCAATGGTTTATTTGAAAAAAGGATCTGAATGATAAATAAATAATGTTTTAAAAACTTGACCCTATTAGGGTTCGAACCCACGACCCTAAATGCAGTTGACAATATTTGTAACCAATTTAAATACTCTTCAAAGCGGTGTAAATGCATTAGGACGGTCATACATACATTCTAACATGCATTATAGATTACGTTGACGTAAGAATGTGACACACAAAAAATGCATAGTGTAGAGATAAAACCAAGGTCAAGACTTTGATGTTGATAACAACACGGTGCATTTCAGCTTTTCGCTTTGTGCAAGCGGTCGATTTATCTGAACGATACGCATTTCTGTGATAAGATTATTTATTCAAATAGGCTACGTTGGCTTAGAATTTTTTCTTTAACTTTTAATTGTGTGCTACTAGATTACAAATGCTGCGTATTTTAATGATTTCCAAAGAATACTCATAGCTTGATTCTGCTGAACATCTTGGACGTTCCTCATCTCAAAAAGATTTCAGTAAGTTTGTTTTATTTTTCTTTCTGTAACACTTAGTCTTTGAAAATAAAAAAGCAAAACATCGTTTAGTGACCCTAATGTAACTGATATTGATCAAGTACTAATTTTTATACAATCTACGTGGCATATTGCCTAAAAGACGAAATCTCACAGACACTTGGGGTGTGGAGCTCAAAACGCTTTTAAAATCCAAATTAAATGCATATTTGTCAATCCCAGCACATGTACTGGTCATATATATATAAAAAAAATTAATATAAGCCGTTTAGAAAAAAATCATATTTCAACGTCAGTCTATAATTATTGTAGACGTTGAAATATGCTTTTTTTACAACTTGAAGGCACATTATGCTTCAGAAACAAATAAATTTTTACTTCTTTATAAAGGTCAAAAATGAATGTTATAATATTTACATAACGGTTTAAGATAATATTGGATGCTTGTTGACAAAGTAGCTGTAAATATAAAAACGTTTGTCACAAAAGTAGCACAATGTAAACAAAGTAGTATTTTACTTTCCCTACAAAATACTTATTCATTACAACTGTGCTGATTGCCTGATTGCCAAAAGCAACAGATGAAAAAGGTGGTTCATGTAATTTGCCAATGAATATCTCTCTGGATGTTATTAAAGTACATGAACATTAAAAATCTTTTGTGAAATGAAAACGAAAGTATTTCTGAGGCATAATTGGCCTTAAATGTTTCTCTTGATTGACCAGCAATCGTACGCATTTGATACAAATAATACCAGTAATACCAGTTAGTAAATATAATAAATATTAAAATTTTCAGTATAAACATTGTATAATCACATGTATTAGTTGATAATTTTGCCATTAATGTATATGGTTTTTAAAAATCAATTTTAGTGAAGAGAAGTAAGCATTTAACATTGGTGTCTGCTTAGCATGTAATGCAAAAACGTGTAATATTTTTGTTTTGTTTTGCATCATGGCTTAGGTTTGAAAATACCCTTTTTTATATTTACTTTCAAATTGATATTTTAAAGTAAAAGGTTTTTTTCTTACTCGTTATTCATTTATTTCCTTTTATGTAATCAGCTATAACCTACCCCTGAATATTTCTTGAAATCATTAATGATTTTTTTATTAAGTAAAATTGTTGGAAAGAAAAAAACTAGGGTAAAGGAATGAACTATTTATTTCCAAAACAACTATTTTAAGTCTTAATCTAGGACGGAATCAAACCTATTAAATATTTCATAATGTTAATTTTTTTATAATATTTATATAATCGTCAGATGTGAAGCTTTCCATTTGTTTACATATCTTTTTTTAAAGACAATTCCATGGCAATACTTTACAAGGCTAAATGGCTTTGCACCACAAAAACTGTTTTCCCAATCCAACATGTTAGGCCCTGAACTCATTTTCCGCCAAATATCCATGTAGATATAATTTAGAAGGGCGAAAGCACATATTTGTTGCAAAATTTTGTTCCACAAAATATTTCGTTTCGTATGAAATATGTGAGTAAGAATACAAATAAAGAAATTTACAACAGAACCTTAAACATTAAATGACAATTAAGTGGTTTAAAGGAGCAATAACACCTCATGGAGATAGTATATGGCATGATTAAATGACTATATCGTATCGATTTTAAGATTTAAGTTAACTTTATATAAGAAATAAAAATGCTTATCAGAATAAAATTTTAATCTGATCTAAATTTCTTTAAAAATAAAAGATGCAACAGGCGTTTTGTCTTTAATTAACAAAAGGATACAATGCTCGCTGCCAGAACAAGGGACTGCGAAATTTTAAAGATATACTATGCTCAAACTAGATATTCGACAATATTGATAATTGCTACACAGACTCTTTGTAAACATAAAATAAAAAGGTTTTGACTTCATACAAAGAAGATATATTATGTTTAAAATTCTACAAACTATAGGTGGTCACAACATGAATATATAGTGTCATTAAAAAAACTGGCAGTTTTTTTTTAAGAAAGGACCAACTTTACGTGACCCTTAACAGAGAATGCAGCTTCCCATACACAGTTTATTCATTCTTTTATTCAAGTTAGACCGATATATTCAGTTAGAATATCATAGATTTCAACAAATTTCTTTGAATAATTTTTTTCACTAAAAGATGAGCATAGTATATCTTTAAATAACCATTGACAAAAAGTCCTCCTCCTCAAATAATATTAGTACCGTACTTTATAGTAATTCTATTTAGTCCTTCGTTAAACACATTTTGACTTATCATTGAAAGAGACTCTTAGGCGAAATCAGCAAACAATTGTTTTAGTTTGAACAATATTTGATTTCAATCAAACATATATATACAGGTACACAATTTAATTACAAGGATTAATTAGAAAAGTAACAGCTTATGAAGAAGCTCTTTTGGACTCGTTGAAATAAACAAACATTATTAATGAAAATGTTTATACAAAAACAAATATTTTATATACACTTTTATTTTTAGATGTCAATATTTTTTTAAAAGTGCAAAAATGATTAAAAGGACAACTCTAGCAATTATCAATATTTCAATTTTCCTTTGTTTTGCATTTGCATTTCCAACAAATTTAAAGCGTGTCATATAAACAATTTCTGTGCACTGTTTGAGATGTCTTTTGTTGAGAAAACTACTCCGTTTATCTAATTACAATGCAAATTTATTTTGGGGGGAAGGTCAAAGGATTAGACTCATTATTGTCATCATTTCCTTTTAACAGAGGAGTCCCACTTAGGTCAAAAAAGCCTAAAAACATAAATTTGAAATTCTTATAAAGACCAAGTTAAACACTTAAAATCGAAACATTTTTCAAAGGATAATAAAGAAATGCGTTTAAAAAAAATTTCGCATCAAACAAAAAGATTTTACTTTGAAAAAAAATGGGGTGAGGGAATTATCTGAACACACGTTATTGGTGCAAATCTTCACCAAATTATACACAAATCTCAGGCAAATATTTCAAGACCAGTCATGTCAAATTTTTTACTGAAATCCTTTTGATGTGCTGTATGTCTTTCATAAAAACACTAACATCAGTACAGATAACATTCATATTAATTTCAAACAGTTCAATAAAAGGCATTAATGTGTTATATTTTAAAGATAAGAGAGTGTACCTCATAAATGCATTTACATACTTCAGTCAAGACAAGCTCATTCTAAACATCCTGTTTTGATAACATCTATCATACGGGCAGTAAGACAGAGAAGCTTAAAGTCAGACCAGGCTAATATTATTATTTTGACATTTGAATATACAGGGACAAAAAGGCAATACAAACAATAAAAGCAGGGGAAAAGCCCTAGAGTAAGGATTGAAAAGAAAAAACATAATGCTGATAATTTTTAGTTTAAGCAATTTCAGCAAGAAATCAGTTTTGTGTGTTCTTAAGGTTGAATTAGTTGCAAAATGTCCCTTTTTGTTTATTTCATTTTGAATCTTAAACTATGAATAATTGTTCAGTACGGACAAAACTTTTGTAGGTTGAAACCTATTTTAATCTTAAGTTAACTTAAAAAAACTATAACTAGAATTAGAAATCGCTTTTTATCAAATACAATGTACGATTGTGATAAGCTCAAAAGCTTAAAGGGACAGGGAAGTAGTAAATCTTCCTTAAAGAAATCTTGTATGGACAGGTGAGATTTATTTATTCAAGGGTGGCAAGCAAACAACCTTCCGCAACTACCCGACATTTCAAACTAAATCCAATATTAATTAACATCCTGAAAGTCAGTCTGCCGATTTTCACTGACAGAGTCTATTATGGTGATTGCATTGTCATTTATATTTTTGTATATATTAACAATTGTCTCCTGGTGCAGTCACGATGAAATAAACGTGGAAGTCACGATGAAATAAATGTGAGAATAACGATGAAATAAATATGGAGTCACGATGAAAGAAAAATGGGATTCACGATGAAATAAATTTGAGATTCGCGATAAAATAAATGTGAGAGATAAAATAAATTTATGAGTCACAATAAAATAAATGTGAGAGTCACGATGAAAGAAATAAGAGAGTCACAATGAAATAAATGTGAGATAATATTTTGTTTGTGTTTTAACATTTCAGCACGAAAAAATGTATTCATCAAACGCACCACGTATGCAGGTGGCTGTAGGATTATTCATTGTCATAATCGTGCTCTTTATATTGATTCCGAACAGAATCACTAAATGTGAGAACAAAGAAATTTATATAAAAGAAACACCAAAAGTAAAGGAAATTCCAAAAGTAAACACAGAAACCACAGAAGGAAACAAAATAAAAGTGACACAGACCAAAGAAAATAAATATCCACACCTCCCGTATAATGTTCAGAAGGACCCCAACTTTGACTTCAAGAAAGAAACCGAAAATCTGAATAAAGAAAAGGTGAAACCGGACGACCCGCGTTTAGTGAATTTGATAAGGAATTATTATATAGAGCTGCCCTCCGACAAGCCTTACAAACTTGCAGAGCCGAACAGATGGGATTCTTCCTATGGTCAAGCTATGTTTGTTGACGGAGCGTTACGAAATATGGCAAGTAATATGAATATTATTATGAAGGAAACATTATTATGTGGTAATTTGGATATTTCACTCTCTTAATAGAACTATTTGGTAAATTTATAAGCTAATACCATTTTCAAATGTATTATAAACAGAAAGTGTTTATATTTTTAATATTGCATCGCCCTGAAGTGTTAATAATTTATCCTGGTGTTGCTACCCTAACGGGTGAAATCCAGTCATTGGCAAGGCGTTGTTGTTTCCTTGAGCTGAGTTGACTTTGTATTTCAAAAGATTGATTACCTATTGAAATGGTGATGTTATTAAAAATATGTTAAGGATTAAATGTAAATATGTCATTAATATAAAATAATTGCCATTTCTTTTCATTACTTGAACGTTACAGATTATGTTTGATGGATATTGAGGGAAATTTCCCTGACCTATATGAGTTCTTTATCTTTACTCTTGTGAAGTGAATTATAAAATTACAAGGAAAAATGGCAAGATTAAAACTTATTTCAACTTTCACCAGTCCTTCACTATATACTCTTGGATGGGCTTAATGTCACTTTTATTTACAGGAAGGTGGATTCTTTGTTGATAGTGGGGCACATGACGGGGAAATACAATCGAACACATTGTTCTTTGAGAGACGCAGAGGTTGGACAGGTATTCTTATCGAGCCCCAGCCAAAAATCTACGAGCAATTAAAAAGCAAAAATAGAAAATCATTCACATTAAATGCATGTGTTAGCGTAGTTCCATATCCATCTACGGTAAGATCCCATTTATTTTTAATAGGAGATATATGTTATCAGACCACTTGCCCCTCACCACTGTGGGTTCGAATCTCGTCAGAGACTTTAAATTCTGTCATGTGAGGAAGCTAGCCAGCTACCTTACGGAAGGGTAGTGGTTCTACTCAGGTGCCCGTTCTATAGTGCCTGAAATGATTAGGTTGCTTACAGTGAACGCCGCCTTTCCTTGTTGATCTTGTCTATCGTATTTCATTCATCAGAAAAGGTGGAAAGTCACCATAAAACCTGTACTGTGTTGGTGCGACGTTAAACCGTACCCAACATTACATCAATAGTAAGATTGTACTTATTGCCACAAAGAAAGCATCTTATAGTAGCAGTATTGTACCATCTTTTTGAGGAATTAGTAGGTATCATGACTAACTGGAATAATGAAAGAAAGTGTCAGAAGCATGCATGTCTGTTTTTGCAACGACTTGTAATTATTGTTATCATTTTCTTAGCTATTTTTAATTAGAAGTGAGACAATATGATCAGAAAAAAACACATAACTAACTAATTAACAGTTAAAGGGTCAATCAATTTTATTCAATATTTATTTTTAAAGATGTAATATATAAATGGAACGATCTTTCCTTTTAAACACGGAGTGTATGCATAAACATAAACTTGAAAAAGTGCAGCATAAGGATTAATGCTCTTAACATTTTAGGAAAATGAACAAGGTTCAAACATTGGGAAAAGTAGCCGGTCGCTCATTGATAAGAACAAAGAAAAATACGTTCAAACTGAATTCATACCTAATCTTCTAACAGTTTTTGGCGACCGCGCCGAAGCGCGGCGCCCTTTATGGAATGAAATCAGATTTTGTGAAAGGGCGACAGCAACTTCTCGAGCCTTTTAGTCATGATAAAAGCCGATCATTCCGAGTGGTATGAGGGTGCTTGATTATTAATTAAAAATGAAATGTCCCGATATGTACAATGAATAGCGAACTGGAGAATTTCGCAATGCAAACATTTTCAAATGAAATAACCTTTTCCGTCAATAATTAGCGCTCTTCGGCGTTTTTTTATTTATCATTTTGTAGTACACAGTTGGTTATTATGGTATGTTATTGTTTTACATGTATAAAGAATGATGAGTGGATGACCTAAACATTCCGAAAATCTATTTATAGAGGGATGTACTCCGGTCTCTCCCGGTCTATTTTGACCAGGATTTACTAGTGATATCACACGTTTATTGTCCGGTCTCTACTGGGTTTGGAGTAGATGTTTGATATTGTTACAGAACAGAACAAATATTTTACAGATAATTAATTTTTTTTTTCCAAAATGAATGTTTGTCACTTAGTTTGGTTACAATAATTATTAAACACAAATCAACTCTCAAATTTATTGATTATTATTATACATAAACATACAATTCAAAAAAAAACCACCAACAACAATTAACAATAACATGGTTCATTTTATCTATATGAGATAAAAACAATAAATATGTACAATAATTGAGAAAAAAGGTACATTTTTATGGTTTTAATATGACACTATCAACTTTCAAACGTTTTATTTAATTTGTTATTCGTGTTTAGTAAAGATGCCGAGGAATTATTCAAAGTTACAAATTAGATTTTATGAATTATTCAATTGATTGATAATTTAAAAAATGATAAAGAAAAGTACAAATGTACATGTACATGGTTTAAGAATAAGCAATATTATATATTGAAAGATTAACCATGATTTACTGACTTTTTCCAGATGAGTTTTGACTTATAATCGTCGGTCAATATGACAATTGAATTCTTAAAATTTATTTTACAATTTTAATAAAAAAAAAAAGAGTAGTATTAAAATAGCACATGAAACACAAAAAAGAAAAGAAAACAATATTCATAAAATCTTTAAAAAATTTTATTAAAATAGATATTACAATTATTGTATAATAAACAATTATGCTCAACATGATCAACATGGTAATATAACCAGTGTTATATGAACAGATATCTTAAGAGGGGTTCTTCTCTAATAGCGATAATATAATAATTACACAAGTGTGGTGTTGATCATGCGTTACACATATGGATTATAAATGATTGTATACATGTATATCCGTTGCTATTAATAATCACGATCATAAAGAAATAACAAGTAATATTCTAAATCTCTAGCATGCCAATCAAAGTTCATAATGAACAATGTCTTTCGTCCGTCCATTCATAAGTGATAAAAACCAATTAACCATTGAAAAGATTATAAGAATATCTTGTCATCATATGTCTACTAGTTCATCTTCACCTGCTGCATTTCTTGCTTGGACGCCCTTTGATGCTTTGCATCAATGCTTTTCTTGTAAATACACTGTAATTGGACAATGTTGCAATTGTTCTTACTGAGTATATATTGATATGTTTTCTAACGTACATCGAGTAAAGGCACAATAATCCTAAGAAAGATTTTTTTTTCAATTTTACAAAGGATAAAACTGAATTGAATTGTCAAACATTTAAACAATGGTTTATGGACATGCTAGATGTTTATCACCCGATAAATATGAAATAATTTGTCATTAAAGTAGCAAATTATTATCGAAGTTGTTCGACTTTCATACAAAATACTAAATCGTTTTAACTGCTCTAATGGTCAGAAAACCAAAGGAGCAAAAGATAGTTCAGGTATATGGTTAATGAGTAACTTTTTGAAACTATAACAAGACAACAAAGATAAATTAAAAATAAGCTTTTTGAAAATAAAAGTAGAAGCTTTTATTGTGCATGTAGTGGGTCATTATACCACAAATACATTTTGATTAAATTACATTTTGATCGTAATGTTATATAACGAAATAGATAAAAGGAAACATGTGTGCTTGCACATGTTGACTAATGCAATTTTATCTTCGAAAAGGAAGTAATATCAAGATGTTTATTATAGTATGTGATAAGGGGATGATCTGGGCCATGACCTCGGCCATGACCTCGACCGTGAACTTGTGGTAAATACAAACCTTACTTTTTTAGAAATGTGTATGCTTTTGAAATATAATCTTAAAGATGTTGTTCCTATTTTATCCAACAAAATGTTAAAAGCTTTTGGTCTGTATCTTTTTTGTACACTCGTTTGAAAAAGAAATGTATGTTTTCCTATGCCAGGATTAATGTACTAAGTAGTTAATGTTCTTGAATAAGACTAGTTTCATTAGATATATTCACAAGAAACAGTTGCATTTTTTAAAGTTTTTTTTCTCTATCGAGAATGACAAGCGCAATCAGCAAGGAGATCTTCTGCAATTATAGGCCTGAATGATAAATTTAAATTCTTTGTCCTTATGCTATAAAAATAAATAAACGATAGTGGCCAAGCCATAGTTTCTATTTAATGTGAACTGGTTGTCATAGTCTACAAATACGTTGACTTTTATTGGCGTTAAAATACTGATAAACGCTATTTGGCCTCAATTCTGCTCGATACATAAAATTTAAACGTTCGATTTTACATAACATTTTAATGATACTTGTGAAGGCCCTTAAGTTTCAAAATTAAATATGACTACGTCTAAAACGTGACATGTAATATCATAAAATCTCTTTTAAGTAGGAAGTGAAAATGCTGACATGCATTGTCAATTGGTGTAAGATTGTGCCCAGCACTCAATTGTACTAATGTCGGTTAAATTGACCCTCGGTTTTACGCTGATGTCGAGTTAAAATTAGTCAACCAATTTGGTTAGCCACTTGACCAAACTGTTTAACTTAAAGCGCTATGTTAACTAATCAATATAAGTTCCGACATAAAATAATTTCTATATCCGGGTACGTTGTTTTCGCGGAAAATGTCAAAATTTAACATTGTTTACGCTTTTATCTTTCTTACAAAACGATAATTTGATAGTAGGATTGAACATTCCAATTATGATTTTATCTCCGACTACACTAGTTACACCCTAAACCCAGGGACTGCTAGTCCGAGCACACTACTTGAACACGAACATGTTTCCCAATATGACATCAATAGCGGTTACAATGTAGTCTCCGTAAGCCGACTTGCGAAGGGTTCAAGCTTTAATCGCAAGCTAGAGAAAATACAATTTATATGTTTAAACTAAAAAAACGGTCACTGTTAAAATACCTCATAACCAATCTTAATACTACTTCTAACTGAAAGTATTGTTTACACTTCAGAAGCTTTTATGATAATGGAGAAATGCCGAAATGTCTACATTAATATTTGTTTATTTAATTCTAGTTATCTAAAATCATTGAGATGTCTGAAATAACGCACGGAGAAGCACCTGAGGGCTTCCTCTACCAGTAAATCAGGAAGTCACATATGACCTATACAGTGATGGTGCGGCATGAAACCCAAGCAAAATTAATTTTCATCAATTATTATTAACAATAAATACATGCGCCTAACAAGCTTGTATGAATATAAAGAAACTATCAATTTCAATATGTTCTATAATGGATTTTTATTCACAAGACTTTTTTTTTTCACTTCCTCCGTGACTAGATGGGTTTCTTATTATTATCTTATTATAGTTTAAACATCTCTTAGCTCCAACATGTGACTGGTGTTGCTGAACGTTTGTATAACCCGAGGCTAGCAAAAACAACCTTTCCTGTTTTGGTGCCGTATTACTTTAACTGTGTTCGTACACCGTAAATAAAAAAAAACAAAAAACAAAAAACAAAAAAACAAATACAACTTAAGTTTAAGTACACGCCATTTCCATTTATGACGTCTTTTCAATTAAAGAATATGCAAATTATTCACACAAACCGATCACATAATTATTCAACTTTGACATATTGATACACTTTTATTTGACATTATCCAGAAACTTGTTTGAGATGGAAATTCCTGTTCTTTGATTTCAGGTTAAATTTCTACCGACATCATTCTATGGAAAGATGGTGGAAAATATAACGAGTGAAGACGAATGGACCAAGAAAGGATACAAAGAAATAACCGTACAATGTTTCCCTTTGTATTCAATTTTACTTGCTATGAACCAATTAACTGTTGACTATTTTAGTTTAGATGTCGAAGGAGCCGAGGAGGGCATACTCAATAATATACCTTTTGATAAGATCAAAATTAGAACTATCTCTATAGAGTATGATAAATTCGAAGGAGGACACGTGCGACTACGGAAAGAAATGGAAAGTAGGGGTTTTTCGTTTTTAGTTAAAATGGATTCAATAGCAGCTCATGACAGCATATTCATTAAATAGAATATTCTAAATAAATTATGGTTAGTAAGCATAATAAAACTGTTGACTTATGATAATGTAATACTATATGTTGTTTAGTTTAGTTGAGATTAGTGTATTTTCTTGATTGCTTTTGGATATGTGTGAGATATCCTTGTTTGTATGTGTGCTTTATTGAAAAAAAATACGGAAAGAAATGGAAAGTAGGGGTTTTTCGTTTTTAGTTAAAATGGATTCAATAGCAGCTCATGACAGCATATTCATTAAATAGAATATTCTAAATAAATTATGGTTAGTAAGCATAATAAAACTGTTGACTTATGATAATGTAATACTATATGTTGTTTAGTTTAGTTGAGATTAGTGTATTTTCTTGATTGCTTTTGGATGTGTGTGAGATATCCTTGTTTGTATGTGTGCTTTATTGAAAAAAATGTGTTTGAATGAGTGTTTTATTGAGAAGTCTGTGTTTGCATGAGTGTTTTATTGAAAATTGCGTGTTTGCATGTGTGTTTTATTGAAAAGTCTGTGTTTACTTGTGTGTTTATTGAAAACCGCGTGTTTGCATATGTGTTTTATTGAGATGTCTGTGTTTGTATGAGTGTTTTATTGAGATGTCTGTGTTTGTACGAGGGTTTTATTGAGATGTCTGCGTTTGTATGAGTGTTTTATTGAGATGTCTGCGTTAGTATGAGTGTTTTATTGAGATGTCTGTGTTTGCATATGTGTTTTATTGAAATGTATGTGTTTGTATGAGTGTTTTATTGAGATGTCTGTGTTTGTATGAGTGTTTTATTGAGATGTCTGTGTTTGTATGAGTGTTTTATTGAGATGTCTGCGTTAGTATGAGTGTTTTATTGAGATGTCTGTGTTTGCATGAGTGTTTTATTGAGATGTCTGTGTTTGCACGAGTGTTTTATTGAGATGTCTGTGTTTGCATGAGTGTTTTATTGAGATGTCTGTGTTTGTATGAGTGTTTTATTGAGATGTCTGTGTTTGCATGAGTGTTTTATTGAGATGTCTGTGTTTGTATGAGTGTTTTATTGAGAAGTCTGTGTTTGCATGAGTGTTTTATTGAGATGTCTGCGTTTGCATATGTGTTTTATTGGGATGTTTGTGTTTGTATGGGTGTTTTATTGAGATGTCTGTGTTTACATGAGTGTTTTATTGAGATGTCTGTGTTTGTATGAGTGTTTTATTGAGATGTCTGTGTTTGTATGAGTGTTTTATTGAGATATCTGTGTTTGTATGAGTGTTTTATTGAGATGTCTGCGTTTGCATATGTGTTTTATTGAGATGTTTGTGTTTGTATGAGTGTTTTATTAAGATGTCTGTATTTGCAGGAGTGTTTTATTGAGATGTCTGTGTTTGCATGTGTGTTTTATTGAGATTTCTGTGTTTATATGAGTGTTTTATTGAGATGTCTGCGTTTGTATGAGTGTTTTATTGAGATGTCTGCGTTTGTATGAATGTTTTATTGAGATGTCTGTATTTGCACGAGTGTTTTATTGAGATGTCTGCGTTTGTATGAGTGTTTTATTGAGATGTCTGCGTTTGTATGAGTGTTTTATTGAGATGTCTGTGTTTGTATGAGTGTTTTATTGAGATGTCTGTATTTGCACGAGTGTTTTATTGAGATGTCTGCGTTTGTATGAGTGTTTTATTGAGATGTCTGCGTTTGTATGAGTGTTTATTTTAGATGTCTGTGTTTGTATGAGTGTTTCATTGAGATGTCTGCGTTTGTATGAGAGTTTTATTGAGAGGTCTGCATTTGCACGAGTGTTTTATTGAAAAGTGCTTGTTTGCATGTGTGTTTTATTGAGATGTCTGTGTTTACATATGTGTAATATTGAGATGTCTTTGTTTGCATGAGTGTTTTATTGAGATGTCTGTATTTGCACGAGTGTTTTATTGAGATGTCTTTGTTTGCATCAGTGTTATTGTTGAGATATTATGTTTTAGCATGTGCCTTCTATAAATTGTGTTTTATTCAGATGTGGGTATGTTGGCTTAAATATATCATTAAGCTAAACAAGTTAATATTGTTTTTATTGAGGTGTGTTTGTATGTATGTAGCTATTTTTGAGAAGTTCTTGCCGTGACATTGCAATTTTATAGCTATGTATGTCGCCATGGGTGTTGTTTTATCATATTCGTGTATGCCTGTTTTTCTTTTCTTTCTTTCTTTTTTTTAATTTGTGCGTGTTTACATTGGCATATGAGCATAAAGAAACTATATCATGCCATATATCAATAAGCCTTATTTAGGTTAAGATTAAATTGTGTGATATTTGTCGTAGGTTTTTTACGTACTTTTTTACATGACAGCAGACATCAGAACGACAAAATTCAACTTTTCATATTGGAATAGAATAATCATTCAGTTACGACTATAGAGATATTTAGTTGATACATTTTGGCATTATGCACAAACACAAGGTCCCTGAAAACATCAAATGTAAAACTGTATATGATGATGCTTAGCAATTACGTATCTTTATACGGCATTTATCGTAAATCTGTTGTAAAGTAATGTCTACACAGCTGACGTAAAGAAGATAACGATTTGATATATATATATGTTACTTTTATCACTTTCAATAACACAATGGGACTTGTTGATCTTTCACTGTTGACTAAACTTTCATCATTATAGGGATACTTTCCAAACATGTAATGATCGACTGAATAGAGAGTATAGTAGATTATTTTTGAACAGGCATGGAATGAATAAAATATGTTGCTGCCAGCAGGAAACAGGAACAGGGTTAAGGACATTATGGTGGAAATATTGTATATCTTTATAGTCATAAGTTGTATAGATCAGTACATAAATTAACATTTGAATACAGGAACACGTACACTATATTTCTTTCATATTTGCATGTATAATAGCTACACGGTTTAAAGATGACAACATGTACTTACATGCAATTATATCTACTTTAAGAAAATACAAATACTCGTTCGCATTTGAGTTAAAAACATTGTCGAAAGATTGCAATATTCGCTTTGGAGATGAAAAAGTTTATTATTATTATTACTGTCAATTAAAGCCTTCATTTGACTCCCTTGGCAGCTTTTCCGTCTCTTCATTGTTTAAATTTCAACCTCACTTTCAAAATTATAGTTTTTAGGTCTCATTGAAATTTATGACATTCGAACATGAACACTACGTCTCTATGTGCCGTGCACTGTTCATGACATGTGTGTCCTTAATGTAGTTTGTAATATTATAATTATTATTTTATATTGCATTTGCTGCTTTTTTTGTTGCTTTTTGTCTTTTTATTTGCGAAAGTGATCTTTGGTTCATTGGAATCAGAGGGATAGCTTTTTTAACTTAAATATTCAACCGATCGCACCACTTTCTCACAATATGTTTTTCTCGAAATAACTGTAATGTTATGTAAAGTTTCTTGTGAGTTTTTTATCTGACAACATGCGGATATATCATTTTTCAGAGTTTGGATTGTAAAATACTATCTTAAGAAGTTTTTGTTAGTCCACTTAGTGGAATATTAAACATATTATCAGAATTATGAATGACCGTATAATTAGAAATAGTTTTCTGATGCTAAGACTCAAATTTGTTTGAATAAGATATGTAATATATTATGAAATATAGGTACAAGTGTGAATATAATAGGTTTAGTTTAGCCTGGGATTCACTTACTTATAAAATACGCGCTATTTCGTACTCTTCGTATTTTTTGATAGGTCGTTTTGTCAAACAAAAAAAATCGACAGACTTGAACCCAGGCTAGATTTAGTTATTTGAATTATATGTTGTTCAACCGGTGCTAAAGTACACTAGCTGTTTTCCATAGCTTTAATCAGAGACATAGATACAGATATAGATATGAACTATATATCTGTTATCACATAGCAGATCCTGAACAGAGTCTCACTGGGACTTTGATATATATGTATTTAATTGTTTGTTTCTTGTTTTTTTATACTGTCTATTTAAGCATCATATGGATGTCAAATATTACAAATTGTTACATTTGTATTTACAAACAAGGTTTCGATCAAAAATAAACATTTTTTTTTTTGAATTGCACAAGCATAATACCATGTTGTTACTAAAATAAATTGATGAAACGTTTATAAAGTATAGAGTTTTATATATAATCTTTACATGTCCCATTTTTATGACCTTTTTATGTTTTGAATATAGCATGATATTAGTATAATAAATCGAATGCGCTTGTTATCAACGAAAAATACCGAATAGTTACCTGCCTATAAACCCATAAATTCCCCTTTTTGGAAAGTGACGAAAATATTTCCGGAAAGTGCCGATCGGCATTTTTCACCAGCTGGTCGTGTGTGACATCATTCCAAGTACATGCAATGACCGACTACAGAGAAATATATGACAGTGAGCGCGAATATTCGTCTGATAATGCTTTTTCTGAGAGTGAAGATGAAGAAAAACAGACTTTACCTTACCAGATTGAGCCAAGTATGCGGCTTGACGAGGGAAATTCCAGTAATCAAGCCGATGCGATTGAAAACGAAGAGTCAGAAAGATCGGGCAACACAAACTGGTATGAAATTGAAAAGCATTTCTTTTTCATTTTTTTATTCGGTGGTGCAAATTCGAGTTTCTATACACCAAATGAAAAGAATATTGTAAAGTAATAACTAATGACTTGAATTGTTTATATATTTTACAAAGGGGCATCACTAGACTTTTACAAGTAACATATCCCACCCACTAAAATCAATTTCGACAATGAAACGACACTTGAACATTCTTTACAGTACATAAGGCCCTACATATCGTAAATAACATTCATAAGAAGTAAATTTAAAACTAACAAAATGAAAGTAAAATATTTGTTGACTGTTCTTACAAATAAAAACATGTCGACACATTTTTGTCAAGGGTATCAAGGAAATCTCCTGGATCAGACCTTTCTATATATATTTTTCGAGTGAAAACTTTATACATTAAACCAAGAAAATGGGATTACAATATATACTGTTGCTGTAGACCCGAGACTTTTCCAGAACAAAACATAGTTTAGTAAGCTGGTTTTTTTTCTTTTCTTGTAATATCATTTCAGGTGCGAATGTGAGAACTGTAGAGCAATAGATACAGACAGACAATCTATCTGTTGTAATGAAATTGACAGTGTAAAACTGAAGATAGATCAGTGTAAGGAAGAAATGGCAACATAACCTGTATAACCCTGGTTCCGAGTCTGTTTGTCTTGACAAGTATGTCTTGGAGACTGCCTACTACCGGTGCATACAACAATATGGCGAGGTTAGGCATACAAACAATGAGAAAGTGTAATGACTTGATATATTGAACAATAGTTTGAACTATTTAAAGGGAAAGCCAAAGTTAGAATAAAAACTTCATATCAGAAATAGAATATTATAAATAGTAAATCTGAAACTTTTCTGTCTTCAAATAATAACATTAAACGAATGATAACAAAATTTAAATCGCTAAATCACCGATTTCTACAAATCAGTAAGCGCGGCCATGTTTGTGTATGTTCTTGTTTGTGCACTACATAAGTTTTGAGGGCATTTCCTTAGAGGTGATACGGCTGAAAGTATTGTACCTTATTGTGAAATTTTGTAAAATTATTCTATTTTTCACAGAATTAATACAGGGAAAACGAAGTTCTAAAGCTTTTATCAGTTACTTATGGCACAGATATACATACATTATTTGGTTCCTTACTTAAAGGGCTACATACTAAAATCAGAAGTTAATTCGTAATAATATTCACAATGTACGAGGGCTGTCCGGAAAGTACATAGACAAGGCAATAAAATTATTATAAACAGTCATATCAATATGATGATTGAATATTTTGCTAAAGTATTTATGTGCTACATATTTCCTTATTAAAAAATATCATAAAAAATATTCGCAAAGCGCCGAAAACCATGGCAACATGATCAACGAATCATTGAGCACTTTGATTTCATGACGGTAGCTACTCGAATAATAAGTTGCTGCTACTTGAATAATAATAATAATAATAATAATAATTGCTAAAAGTTGTGATTTTAGCTCTCGTTTTAATTTTGTGACATCATGAGATACTATTACATGATATTTAGTGAAAATAATGACGTCATACGCAAATAAACAGCTTTTTAACGACGGTTATAGGCAAAGAAGGTGCATCAATTTGTTGAAAAAATGACGTCAAAGTCAAGGACGGAGCAACGTAATGATATTTAACTTCATAGCAACGTTAATATGGCACCAAATTAGATATTAATCTTTACTTTAAAAACGAAACCAACCATACAATGTTTAAGGCAACTTGTGTTTAAATGTCAAACAAGATTAAGAAGCGGCGATGACAGTATATCATATCAGAAACGCTCCAGACGACAAAAGGTAGGATCGGCAAAACATCGTTTTATGCGTTACAACAGCCTTGGAATAAGGCAGACATCTCACACACTGTATGGGAACAAAAGACATGTTTTAAATAATAATTGACATGTTTTAAATAATGATTTAAAATATGAAATTCATAAAATATATGCAACATAACATGCATGAGTATACGCCAGACAGATACCATGGCTATTGAAATCGGAAGAAATTGGATAGCGGGTAAACATGAAGTTAATTTGACGCCGTTGACGTTGTCAAAGTGATCCATGACGATGTATATATGTTGTATGTAATTACTGTTAAATACAAACGTAAGTCACAGTTCAGTAATTTTTGATAAATGTGTTCGCTAGATATGTATATTTATGCTGACAAAATTTGCACAACGTATGTATTGTTAAACAATAAAACATGAAGAAGTATATGGACTTTCCGGACAAATCTCGTATTTGCGATAATTTATTGCTCCGCGCCAACAGGCGTGGAGCTATTTGTGTTTACTATTTTTTTTGTCCATGGGCCCGGATTTGAGCAATAAATCCTTTCGATTAACAGCTAAAAGTAAATCCGCATTCAAGAACTCCTTTCGATTTCTATAGTGGTTTCCCCGTCGGTGATTCGCAGCATGTCATATTAATGAATGAGAACCGGAAAGCAGTTCTGCTGTTAAATAAATTCGAAAGCTATAAATAGCTATAAATGTTTTGATTTTTGACACTTAGGTTATAAATTTGTTATTTCCCTTTTTTAGTAGTACATGAAATTATAATTTGTTACATTTTGAAATACATTTACACACAGCATATCAAGTACACGTATACTATTAGTGATTGAATTTGTCAATATAAAGAAGATTTCAGGCAAAAGATTTTAACAATTTTGCTTTTGATAATTATTTTTAATTTATATTTATGAAATTAAATGTTTAATAATAACATGTTGATGTATTGGTTGTTTTGAAATAATTAAACTTTAGTATATAATGTTACATTTCATTAGCGTCATTGGTACAGCATACTGGTCACTTTGTGATAATGGTATGACCGGTGACATGTTCGGGGGGTCCGTACTCGCCAGCGAAAGCTGCATTTTGTAGCCTTACGAGCGGATGGACCCTCAATAAGGTGTTTCCGCTTTGTCAGCCAAGTTTGTTTACACAAAGTCTGTGCAAAGTGAAAGTAGGCCAAAATTCATATAACAACAAAGCTCACATTGTTATATGATGAGCCATTTTACAATAAGAGCTTTGTTGTTATATGAATTTTGGCCTACTTTCACTTTGGACAGACTTTAGTTAAAACAAACATGGCTGACAAAGCGGAATCACCTTAAGCATAGGCTATAGGTAGATATCATGACGACAACAGAAACTTTGATCTGCAGTTTGAACATGAAGTGTAATGTTTTTTATGAATGGTTTTAAAGCAATTCAACAAAAAAATATATTGATCTCCCTAAAAATTAATTAACAATAGTTTTTTTATATATTACCAATGTCAAATAGCTTTTATATCTTTGTCTCGCACGAATATGATATTAGTGAATTTCCTCATACCTACCTAAAATTCAGGTAACAGTCTTCTATTATATTGATAAATAATGTATCACCATGTAACGCTTGTATAAAAAACAAAAAAAAATCCTGAATTTGGTCTTTTGGAAATTCATCCCATTTTTTCATTCCAGAGTGTGTTCTACTTTCAGTATTGAAAGAAACCATTTTTTTTTAATTTGACATGAAAAATATGCATGTAATATTACTATATTATAATATTAGTCCCTTTTGTTACTATTTGTATATTTGTTACAATTAAAACAGACTTTGATATTTCTATCATCTATCTTCTGTTACTGAAACAGAACACAGTACAGTCATGTCACATAACATTTACAAGTCTTATGTAAGTCTTGTTTGTATTCAATGGAATTACTTTCCTTACCAGGTAGGCATCAGTGAAAGCATTTTTTATGTTAAATATTTTTCCCCTCTTTTTAATTATGGACAGTGCATAAGATAAGTATAATTATGCAAAAAAATGGTTTACAAAACATTCGGAAAAAATCTACAATAGTACTTAATCTGAATATAACATGACCTGTGCGTAGGAATAATTTGGTAAGGTATCTGTAATGAGCACATTTTTTTGCGCGGAGCTTCTCAATTGCTGCATTGCAGCAACATTTGTACTTGTTACAATATTGTAGTGACTTCCCATATATTGCTCTGACAACTAAGTACCTTGCAAAGTATTTTTCTCCTTTTTTGGCGACAGAGATACGTTGCCTACAGGCAGTAAGCCAGGTGGTGTTGGGGATACCTTGGCAAAGAAGTTAGGGTGGTGCTCCCCTCATGTGCTGTGTATTTGATATGGAGTACTTTCCCTTCAGACGTTTACAAAAGGGTTTCTGATGTATGAAATAAATTATAAAACAACAATTAAAAGTTGTAAATGTTAATGACATTTTTCTTTTCTCTTGTCTTCTTGTTATTTCCATTGTTTGCTATTGGTTTGGTTCGTAGTCACAACAGTATAATATGGTAATTTTTGTTGGTGGAAAAATATCAGTTTCAGTATTTCATGCCCAAGCATACAATCCTGAATTGAAGGACCTGACTAACCAGTAGAGTATATTCCTCACATAAATGAATCCAATGTCCCTTATGGGACTGGAAGCCAGTGATTCTAAGTATGCGACTTTGGTCGGGCAATAATTTTTAAATTTGGAAAAAATGGACTTTTATAATATCTAGTCAGGCCTTGATAAAGCTGTAGTGGAGTTTTACTGTACAATGAACTATGTATTGCACACATCATCATAGTCTTTTGGGCAATATGAAATGGAGCAGTGGCCAAGTCTCTAAATTATTTTTTTCTTGTACTAAGGGGGCGTGGTTTACATCCCCAATTGCTGAGCCATTAGCGCTAAACTCAACAAAACAGACACACCAGATACTAATTCCAAGGACATTTCACAGGTTTCAAACCATAATACTAGTAATAAGAAAAATCTATTAATATATGTGGTTTCATTTGGCCAATGAGTCACTATGAACCTAATTTGTACCAAATCTGAAAAGTATACACCTATATACAGCTACTGACCCATGGTTAAATTAGCAGAACAACAATTAAATTTGCAACAAAATAGTATTTTAGATCATGGTAGATGTTAAACAACAGAAGAGAATATCACTTGAAATTGCAGTTATGTGTCACAAAGGTAGCCAAGTGTAAACAAAGAAGTATTTTGACTTTCAAGCCAAATACAAATTCACTATATTTATACCAAACAAACAGAGCTAAAGAGTAGTAGATAGTTCATCTATATGGCAAATGTAACACTGTAACAAGTTACCAAAAATAGAACATTTTTGAGATTTAAAATGATAGCATATCTGAGACATAGTGGACCTTAAAACAAAACTTCAGTCATTGAAATTTACTTACATACTCCTCCAAAAAGCAAAATAATCCCAATAACTTTCATGTCAACAGTTTTCAGGTTTACAATTGTGGTAAAACACTTATTATTATCAGTGCTATTTACACAAGTTTTTCTTGCCATGATATATGTGTGTGTGTATATATATATATATACATATATTAATATGTTGTATTAATATGGTGACTGAACTTAAATAAAAACAAAAGAACATATTACCTTACACTTATATTTAATTGGTTATTTTATTTTGTTTTATTTTAAATATGTACATTTGCAAGTTACACAGCAAACAGTAAAATACTCAAACAATGATAATTTACATATTCAAGGTATTCAAAATAAGAACTTAATGAATATACAAAGAAAATATCAAGATATCACATACAGTAAGCATTTAGCTATCACAGAAAGTTGAGCTGCCATATTTTAATATCAAGTAACTCAGAATTTTAAACATGATATATTTATACATGTTTTACTTTTGATTTACACTGAAACAAAATAGCTGAAAACATACAACTTGTGTACAGATTTACATAAAATTCTAGGCTGGTACAAATGTACATGAAAATGAAAGCTCAAAAAGCTTATTTCGGGCAGAAGAATTGGTATTTGATACATACAATATCAACAGTATTGATTGTAGGTGTGTCAAGAAATATAAAAGTAAAATTTAATAATGAAAATATTGAATCGACCAACGCTTTTTGAATCTTAAAATTACCCTGGTGGGATATAAATTCAGATTTCCGACATAATGAAAATTTCATATTAGAATGATATAAAACAATGTTATATTATACAATTATTGACTTGTGACCCATTGAATATGATGTGATATTCACCGGCAGATGACATATTGACCGAGGCGATAGCCGAGGTCAATATGACTTTCCGCCGGTGAATATCACATCATATTTAATGGCTCACTAGTCAATAATTGTTTTATTATATGAATAGTCTAATTAATAAAAAAATCACAAAGTACAACCTTATATACATGTACAAATTTTGCCTCGTTGAAGCGCGGGAAAAAAGACGCACGTGTTAGGCGTGCAACGAGTACTCGAACGCTGCGCATACAAAAATAATTCAAGTTTATACTCATCATTGCAGTGTAGCCTTATAGTATAATAGAAAAGTAATGATATTTCAATCGAGAAATATGCCATAAAGAACAAAAAGCAACAATTATATTTAAATCAGCACGCCTAAATATCAGTCTACGGTGTATGATCATTGAATATGAGTCTCAATCTATTTTTACACTGGGAAAATCCAATTGAGCCAGTCAATATGATACTACACCCAGTGAATATGAGTTTATAAAAAGTTCTGTTGACTACTGTTTGGACCAATGAGATTGCAGCTATTTTTAGATCATTTAATAAATCGTTATAATATAGATTTCAAACAAGGAATTATTTTATAATATTGTACATAGTTATTTGCCTTCTTATTGCTGTGTGCTTCATATTGCTATTGCTATATTTGGTAAGATTACTTCTTTTATAATTACTCCCGTATTTTTCCCGTTCAAGTTATCCTTGCATTCATTGTACTTTTTAAATAATAATTAACTTTTTTTCTTTTGTTTGATATATTTACGGCGTTAAACTGTGGGGTGTGCATACGACGTTGGGGGTTGTTGGTTTGCAGCTGCCCCGGATGAAGAATATGGCGGGGGTTGTAATGAATATACTGGTGTTCGTACATATGGTGCAGGTGTGACGACAGAGGTCGCTGTAACACCAAAACAAACTTTGTGTAGAATGTAGCCAGCACCAACCAGCAGGGCTATACCAACACAAGCCCCAATAACGGCGCCCACGATAAGTAGCGTATTGTCAGTTTCTTCATCTGCAAAAAAAAATGACAAGGTAATGTATCTTTAAGAACGATATTTCAGACGTAAGACATATCAGACATACAAAATATCAAGTTTGCAATGAAAGTAAAAATCTAAACACGATAAAATGATTAAATATTTTGTAATAATAATTAAAAAATAAACCTTTTTCTTCGCATACATTGTTGATACATTCAAGAGAAGTGGTTGCACACGTGACACTGTCATCACAATAGCCGCCTAATTGACCATCTGTAAAATTATAGTAAAAATGAAATTTGAAGTTTGAAAGATTAACTAGCATTCATATATAACTATCTTGAAAATATTTAAATTAACTTACTTATTTTGAACTTCATAAAACTCGAATATTTACGATTTTTGACTTTGCTCTATAAGCTACACTACTTTTTTTCTACATTAGAAGATTTGTATATATGTATGTGTGTGTATGCGTGTGTGCGTGCATGCGTGCGTGTGTGTATGTATGTATGCGCGTGCGTGCGTTTATGTATGTATGTATATATTTTTTAAATGAACAAAAAAATGAAACGAATTGCAAAACTGATCTTTTTTCTAATATTACTAAATAAGGGGTCCTCATTGATATAATAATAAATTACCCTGTTTACAATATATGCCAATCACGTGATATCCGTCGTTGCAGACGACACAGATTTTATCGTCCTGTAAACAACCACCATCTGTGATAGCGCTACATTCCGCGGAGTCTATGCACGAACCACCAAGTTCTCCAGCTGTAAAAAGGCAATTATCATGCTAAAAATACTTTAAAGTAAGCCATTTAAGTAAAATACCAACAGAAATTGAAATAATTCACCTTAAAAAACATGAAATCATTTACCAGTAGAAATTGAAACATCTTACTATCAAAATTGAAAAAAAGTTTTAAGAAAATGAAAGCATATACCTAGGGAAATTGAAATAATTTATTAGCAGAAATGGGAAAAAATACCAGCCTGTTTTGAAATAATTTACCAACAAAAATGAAATAATTTACAAGCAGAAATTGAAAAAAAAAACTAGCATATTTTAAAATAATTTACAAACAAAATGAAATAGTTTACTAACAAAAATGAAATAATTTACTAGCCAGAAATTGAGATATTTTACAAGAAAAATGAAATAATTTACCAACGAAAAAATGATATAATTTATCAGCAGAATTGAAATATTTTACCAACAAAAATAAATAATTTACGAACAGAAATTGAAATACTTTACCAGCTGAATTTGAGATATTTAACCCACAAAAATGAAATATTTTACCAACAAAAATTCAAGTAATTTAACTTGAGAAATTGAAATAATTTTTAAGCAAATATTTAAAAAATTTACCAGCAATTAAGATAATTTATGCAGCAGAAATTGAAATAATTTACCAATAAAAATTATAATACATGCAATACACATAGAGAAATGTATATAATACCAGCAGGAATTCCAGCTAATGGATCTGCCACGGTGCCATAAAACTGTATACTCCAGTAATAAAGATTCATACCTAGGTATAGATTTTAATATATTAGAATTCATCTTATAGTCTAGTCAAATAGTATACAAACGTGCCAAAAATAATTGTTTTATTTCATTGTTTAACGCAAGGTAGACCCGTTCTTGACAAAATATTGTTTTATGTGTCGACGTTACCAGAAAATGTTTGTAACAACAAAATGTTTTCTTGTATTTATACTAATGGCATCTGATTTATGTATACACAAATCTACTTTATATCATCATTTTCATGATAAATTAACATAGATCTATACTATATTATAAAACTTTTATATCTCATAATGAAGCTGTTTTTCTTATCATATTTCTGGTGGTTTTTTTATGTGATTTTAGAAAAAATATATAAACGCATCTATCAATAAGATAAACATACTTGTTCCACCGACTGCATCTGACATAGTTAATGTCCAGTCACCTTTCGGGTTTTCGCCCCATGTATGAACGGACATAAAATCCCAGGTTATTGACGACGACGACAAATCATTAGTTCTCGATCTAAATATTTTACTTCGGGTACCCGACGGGGAGTCAATGAAGAATTCAACATTTCCTCGTCTCGAGGCACTGTATCTTATGGAAACAATCACGTGCTCTAGATAGCTTATGAAACACTGGCTGGCAGAGTACGTGCTCACTATCGATGACGTCACTGAATTTCTTTAAAATATATGAATACAAAACTTTCAAAACGCACAAAAGTGTTCTAAATCAGCCACTATAGGTTTAGTGATTGATTACTATTATTTAGTTCAATAAATTGTATAGAAGTTTTAAATAAAACAGAAAAAAAACAAGAACAGCACGATAGCGTCAGTTTCTTTACTTTTGGGATAATAATACACATTTCATTATATTCTCCCAGTTGATTTAGTAATTATAATGATTTGTTTATCTAATTCATGACTTCTTACGACTTGACAAAAAACCTATCAACTCTTCCAATGAAATATAAATTTTCCAATAGGGCTGCTTTAAGAACTATTTGGAACGCATTAGAAATGAACTGGCCTTATTCTTTCTGACATTACAAGTATTATATTCATATTAAAAGTATATTTCATTAAAACATAATATTCTGTATAATAATGATAAGATCAATTTACATATCCACGTTAATTTGTGTCGATGTGCAGATTGTACTAGAAGGTACATTTTTCCAAGATGGCGCGTTGTCCACCATCGCCTCAGCGTCCATTAACCCGAATCCGAACCAATGACTTACTACAAGTATAGGTTAGTTACAATTATTATTAGTAAGCATGTGCAGTTAAATTGATGGAGCGCCTGTTCTGCTCTTTACCACTTATTTAATTTTTGCTTATCAATAAACACTAACCAATTTAGTTTTTGAAATAATATTTTTTAACACTGATCGATCAAAGCCCATTTACTAGAATAAATTATGTTGGAATAGATTTGAAATATTTGAATAATTACAACATGAATCTATATATGCTACATCATGTTTCTATAATATACCTGTTTTACCAGCAGCATTCGTGTAGAAATTTGCGTCAGCATGTAGACCTAAAGATATAGAATATTCAACCAACATATGCTGCATGTCTCTCCAGGTCAATGCTGGACTGAAAACAATAAATGACTTATTTATTTTGAAGGATGGATGAGGAAACATTTAGTACATATTGCTATACTTGCTAGACAATACTTGACCGTATTGCATGACAATTTTAAAGAGTGGTAATTATCAAAGATGAAAATGAATCGGATGCAAAATTATGTATTTTATCATACTTTGCTTGTAGTGTTAATGCAAATATTCCGGAAGCTAGAGGGCAAGCTGATGAGGTCCCCGAGAAGTTATTCACACAGGTGTTACTGGGTCCTGTTGTTGCCTGCAAAATAAAAAATAACTCAGTCATATACACAACGGGGTTTAAACTTTTATACGAGTCTCGTTACAGTGTTTTAAAGGGAAAATATTATATAGTCTGAAGATATACAATAAAAACTCAACAAATAAACTATACTTTCATAATCTAATGCGTGTAAAGGAATAAAATATAAGATTAAAACAATAAAATATTAAAATAGACCTAACAATGGAATCAAAATTTTCAAATTGTAATATAATACATGTACTAAATAAAATTTCAATTTTGAACAGTAATCATTTGAAATTTTAAAAGTATATTCTAATTTTTGGTGCATTCGATTATCATTTATGAATATATAAATGTGTATAATGTGACTATATTCAATATAATTCCATAAATTAGCACCTTTACAAATTAGTTAGATAATCAAAGGTCCAAGTACTATATAATTATGCAATGTTCAAAAATATCAAATTAATGCATTTACAATTCGTGCGTTTGGGAAGTCACCACTGTAAGTTGCGGCAAGAATAGCTGTACAATGTTCGGAGTACCAAGTCGGCGCAGATGTCTCCGACACGGCGGCAATAGCTATCGTATAAATACTATTAGAATATCCGTCGGCATTACAATCATCAGAATCTCCTCCGTTACCAGACGCCCACGAATATATCACACCCTTACCCCCTCTACCCTGTAACCATGGAGATAATGTTAGTTTTAATGTTTGGATATAATAAATACATTTGTAAAGATTCATTCAATGCTTCATCAAATATATTTATTAATATTTACTCAAAGATATATTCTATAAATATTGACTTAGATATATTGAATAAATTTATAGATATTCACTCATAGATAATTTAACATATTTAAGAAATAATATATCCCAAACTTTGATTTTATCGCTCAATGACATCACTGTTTGGAGTTCGGATACGAGGAATTATATCACGAGCGCGTAGCCCGAGTGATATAATGATGCGCATCCGAACGACAAACAGTGATGTTAGCCAGCGATAAAATCACCGATTTAGATATATTATTTCGATTTCAACACGACATCAACAAATGAATGCTGTCGTACCTGATATTAAGCAAAATTGCGCCTGATTGTTTCCGTACTTATTGTCAACGCGTCGGATTTTATAGTGGTTACGTCACATGTATAATGATTACGTTACATGTCTATATAAGAACGTCAAACAGTGATTTTATAGCAAAACAACACACACTTTCGGTTCTTCTATGTTCAATAGGGAAAAAATGCGGGTCGTGTTAGAATTATAAATATTCACTCAAAGATATATTAAATATATACTTTAAATATTTACTTAAAAACCCAGACACAATGACCTTACGTTTGAGTCTTGATAGACAATAATATTACAACAAAACGTTTACCTCAGTCACCCCTGTTTGTAAAGCTTCCCGTTGTATACTGGCTAGTGAAAAAAACGTTTCGCCGTCATCGCTTGGACCCCAGCTGTTACTATATATATCGATGCTCGCGAGCTCGTGCGTTAACGCTAAAGCTTCGTCTGCTTCAGTAACAGAGTACGTGTCATCTAAAATACGTATTGCTGTAGAATAAACGTAAAATACTATTATAATTTTCCTGAATATTGTCAGGACTATTTCTAAGCAGTTCATCGAAAGGAAGATTCACTACCAAGAGGGCTATGTTAGTTGTTTCGATGAATTTTTACAAAGTTACTGTACAGTATGTCTTTTTAGTTTTTCAGACTATTTCCTAGCAACCAATAAGAACATTAAAACATCAGGTGTGCACGTCAGTAGCTCTTTAAGTTCAATATATTTTCAGGAAGTAATGCCCCTTCTTTATGCTTTTTTTCTAAGCAATTAAGCAATCCTGACTACCAAGTAGAGTGCATATTATATAGCAGACTTATATTCTAGAAAACACTTATAAATAACTATACGTAACGTGTTTATATGTGTAAGCATGTACTTAAGTCGGATCATCTATGACTGCTTTTATTTCGAAGGCTGGTTTAAGTGTACGTGAATTTAATACGCCCCTCAACGTAAGTATTTAATATATATGAAAAAATCGCTAAAAGGTACTAGTAAGTAGCTTATACATCTTTACCTGGTACGGAAGCCTCATATGCCACGCCCACTATACAAACCGTATTCTTGACAGCTGCTACAACACCTGCACAATTTGTACCATGTCTGTAACAGAATTATCCCCAATAACATTGGTTCAAATATCAGACCTTTTATGCTAAACGCTAAACATTACTATTCAAATTGGATTTTAACATGCTGCTTCATGTACGGCACACAAGCCCAGTCTGTGAAAAAAGCTAGCTCACCACTGAGAGTGCTTTGGTTTATGCCTTTATATGTGGGATATTTTCCTATATGTTAATACATCATCTTTAGTTTTTGCAAATTGTAATGCTCATTATGAGTATTATGGCGTTCTACCAACGTCGTTACAGATTTAAAGACACTTTTTTAAGAAAGTCTTTACGATGGAAATTTTTCGTGTTGCAACACATGTATTAAAAATGCATGACTTAGTTAAAAACTTCTATTCAATGATAAATTAAAGAACCATGATAGAACATGTACATAATGTATTTCCATTTTAGATTTGATAGGAAAATAACATATAAACCAAGTACCCATCATTGGGTCCTACGTGTGATGGATCAACACTGTCATATATGTAGTCATAACTCAACCCAGCATTCTAAAATAAAAATACAAAAGTTAATATTTTTTAAATATTGGCAATTTGAATTATTTTAATCATTATAGCATTATTATTTAATGATATAGAAATTGTAATTGATAATTTCTTTCATATCAATTATAATCGTTACACTTCCAATTCCCACTCGACAAAATGAAATAAATAAACGAACACTAGCAAATATGCTTTATATCATTCCATCGGAATTAAATTTTTCTAAAATGAGTATGTGCAATTTCCATGTCTCTTGTTTGAAATTGATATTGATATGTTGAAAGTAGAGGAGTAGCTACCTTTTATGAAGAAATGAAATAATTACAAAACTAGTTTTATGGCCTAACATGTCAGCAATATGGGACCATGATTTATAAATTTTAAGGACTTACATAGTTACCAGATAGATCGCCATGAACAACATCAATACCGTCATCCACTATTGCTATGGTAATACCACTTCCGGTGAAACCTTTGTCCCACGCATTGTAAACATTCATACTTGGATTTTGACTTGTTTGCTGTTATGAAAACGTCAATTAGTATAGTATCATACTTAAAAATATGCGAGCATGCACAGGAGAGAAAATGCCTGTAACATTACTGATTTGAAATGAGACGCTTCAGTGGCGTAACTACCGATACGCCAATACGCACGGGCGTATAAAAAAGAAAAGTTTCGAAAAAAAAAATTCAAAAATGAAATCATTAATTTGGGCGTAGATCAACATATTTGTAGCTGCTAATTGATTCTACAGGTATGCTTAGGATGTTACCTTATTCGAATATGCGTTACCTTTTTATGTACAATCAAAAATTCAATTATGAAGAAAGGGGGTGAAAATATGATATTAACAATTTCTTTGGAATTTTCTCTTTTTTCAGCTTGAGTTAAGCGTTATAATGCTAAATAAACCTCGTCAAAATCCAAATAAGGCAAAGAATATGTCCAATATATTACAACCATTTTTTTTTTCAGATGAATCGAATCAGTGGAAAGTAAATATTTATTTCATTTTTTTACATTTAAATCTATATGAAAAATTAAGATCTTGATTGCAATTTGGCGTTTGCAACACAATGGAAGGGAGTTAGTAAAATATAAGCTGTATGGAATGTCTTTTTATATTTTAAGTTGTAACTATAAATCAGTATATTATTTTTAAATTAGTAATATTCATTCAACTTATATTCATTTTAAATGATGTATAATAGCTTTGACACTGTGAATCAGATCTTTGCAGTGAACTATTGACAACATCCCTCGTCACAAATCAAATTAAACTTTTGCTTATTTGACCGTAAAAAAGAATACCAGTATTTATAAAATATATCACTACAGAAATTTGTTTCTACTGTATTATTTTATTGAGTAAAAAAACTTTCACACTTCTGACAACAATGACGTATATATATAACCATATAAGACACATCATGTCTAAATTATTTATTTTCGCCGACTTTAGATAACAAATTGGCGAGTTCGTTTATACCAACAAGCTTTATGTGCGTGAGGTATTTAACTTCGTAATGAAATAACTTAAATGTTTCAAATGCCAATTGAAAGACTAGAGTTGAGAACAAAAATGTTAAAGAAAATATTCATTGTCTACAACATTGACTAAATACGCATTTAAAATATTTTAAGGAGAAGCTAATTGATCGTGCTATACTATTTTTTAGCTGTGAATACGATAAAATCTCGTTACACTAAACATTTAAGCTGTAGTGTTTGTACTGGTCATTTAAAGCTTATATCTCACGTTAAGTTATGGTGAAACAAAAGAAAAATAACAAAGAAAAAACTAAACTTGTTACAAAAGGATATAAACCCCATCTTTTTAACAAAAGAGATACCGGACTATGTTTTGTTTTTTTATAACAAATAACTTTGATATATCTTCAATAGCGTACACGTTAGACTTCGTGCTATTTATTTTACATTCAATATAATCATTGATGTACTTGATGATATTTTTATAACTATAGATAAAGACAATAGTAGTACAATTAGATTTAATATCCCATAAATCCTTAGTTATAGCACATAGCTATATTTGATATATAAGTCTCTGTTGATCCTCTCTGGCAAAAAACCGGCACTCGGCGTACACTCATAATAAGCCAAGGCACGCCCCTGCGCTTAAATCATACTTCACTTTTCTTCCAATAATGGCAACACAAATTTTAGAGACGTGTTTATGTAATTAGACTGAATAGTTTAAATACAAGAAGCTTTAGTAAATATCATAGAGTGGAAAGATGAAATAACTTTATTTTCAGTAAGCGAAAATATCACTAAGAACTTACCAATTGCCATTGATCAGACCATTTGGCATCGCTGATTGGAACAGCTTTTTTAGTTCTATGTTGAGGGGTTAACTTTTGAATTCCAATCTGAAGCCAAAATAAATTCTCTGCATACAGTATACTCCGAATTCATACAAGTATTTCCATTTAAAACGTTAGCTAGTAAAAGTATACATGGAATGACTAACGATTTACGTTCATGTCCATATATATATATTTAATTTCATTCGTACTGTATGTTATCATTTTATATCACTAATTTTGTTTCGAATAAAATCATTTTTAATTGCTGTTCATGAAAACAATTCATTCCTAGAGCGCCTAGAACAAATGTCTTCCTCACAATGAACATCTGAAACATCTGTCCTCAAATAAACATCTTCAACAAATATCCTACTCACAATAAACATCTATAAATAACGATGAATACCTAAAACACTTGTCCTCACGATGAACATCTAAGACAATCAGAATTAATAACCCAGCCCAACAGCGACAAATCTCCTAATAACCTAACGATAGACGTCTGGAACAGTGATACTATTGTACAAATCTTCATACCTTATGTCCTTACCTCATGACCAACATGTAGAATAAATATCCTTACCTTAAGACCAACGTCTATAACAAATGCCCTTACCTTAAGACCAACGTCTATAACAAATGCCCCTTAAGACCAACGTCTATAACAAATATCCTTACCTTAAGACCAACGTCTATAACAAATGCCCTTACCTTAAGACCAACGTCTATAACAAATATCCTTACCTTAAGACCAACGTCTATAACAAATGCCCTTACCTTAAGACCAACGTCTATAACAAATATCCTTACCTCAAGACCAACGTCTAGAACAAATACCCTTACCTCACGACCAACATTTGGACAAATTTCCTTTCCTAAAGACCAACATTTGAACAAATGTCCTTACCTCACGATGAGATTCGATAAGCTGGTCTATATCAACCGAGGGCGGAACAATAAACTTACCTCACGATGAGATTCGATAAGCTGGTCTATATCAACCGAGGAAGGAACAATAAACTCATAACTGGTGAGAACCTGAAACAGGTAATGATTACATCTATGCCGTACTAAAACGATGTTTCCTCATATGATAGCACGTCTGACTTGTAATAAGGCAGACAAGAAATTGATTTTTAAACAAAACTGATCACATATCCATCACTTCTTTTACAAATCTGGCATAAGCTAGGGAATATGACTCCCATACGAAGAAAAATGATCCTCACATAGAATAGCGACCCCCTGTAGTATAGCGACCGCCCCCTCCCATCCAAACTATAAAGCCCTTATTGGACTCGTTAAAAGATACATTGTCAATATAATTTTCCTCAGATGGAAAATGTGTAATGTCACATGTCCGTGCTTGTGACCGAATCTTTTCACTACTATCGGACGGAATGGTTTCTAGCTACTATAACCGTAGCCTATCCTCATTCTGCAGGAGAATATAAATGAACTTGATCTATACATAAAGAGTAGAGTATTAGCATTTTCTACAAATGACAACGGCTAGGGTCATTCGACTGCAGCACGATTTATATGCTCAAAGGTAATAAAACTATTAGGCTATCGACCACATCACTTCGCCTTATTTTTGGGGTACATGTATAAATGGGTACTTATGAGTATCTTATTCGTCATAAAAATATAAAGGATTTTTGGCATCACTTTTATAGTTTTTATAAAACATAGTCCTTTAGCATGCCTCTATTGTTTTTTAACATTCTAGAAAATGGAATATTTTCTTCTTTAAAATGAGACCGTTAGCCTTTTCTTAAATTCTGACCAGATACCGTTTCCAGTTTCAAAATGCTTACGTAACACTGCACTCATGGTAAATATATAAAGCAGATATGCTAATATGAAAAGGAAAAACTTGGAAATATCTAAACAACATCAACCGAAGTAGGTTTAGCTCTATTTTTAGCTCGACTATTCGCAGAATAATCGAGCTAATGCAGTCACCCATTTGTCGGTGTCGGCGTCCCTGTGGTTAAGTTTTTGTATGTAAGCTGGTATCTCTATAACTACTGAAGGGAAGGGAATAAAACTTCACACACTTTTTCTCTGTGATTATCTAAGATGATTGGCACAAGTCCCATAACTCTGATTTGCTTTTTTATATAATTATGCCCCTTTTCGACTTAGAAATTCTTGGTTAAGTTTGTGCATGTAAGCTGGTATCTCCATAACTACTGAAGGGAATGGATTGAAACTTCACACACTTGTTCTCTGTGATTATCTAAGATGATCGGCACACGTCCCATAACTCTGATTTGCTTTTTTATATAATTATTCCCCTTTTTCTACTTAGAAATTCTTGGTTAAGTTTGTGCATGTAAGCTGGTATCTCCATAACTACTGAAGGGAATGGATTGAAACTTCTCACACTTGTTCTCTGTGATTATCTTAGATGATTGGCACAAGTCCCATAACTCTGATTTGATTTTTTTACATAATTATGCCCCTTTTTCCACTTAGAAATTCTTGGTTAAGTTTTTGCATGTAAGATGCTATCTCCATAACTACTAAAGGGTATGGATTGAAACTTCACACACTTGTTCTCTGTGATTATCTAAGATGATTGGCACAAGTTCCATAACTCTGATTTGCTTTTTTACATAATTATGCCCCTTTTTCCACTTAGAAATTCTTGGTTAAATTTTTACGTGTAAGCTGGTATCTCCATAACTACTGAAGGGAATGGATTGAAACTTCACACACTTGTTCTCTGTGATTATCTAAGATGATCGGCACACGTCCCATAACTCTGATTTGCTTTTTTATATAATTATTCCCCTTTTTCGACTTAGAAATTCTTGGTTAAGTTTGTGCATGTAAGCTGGTATCTCCATAACTACTGAAGGGAATGGATTGAAACTTCTCACACTTGTTCTCTGTGATTATCTTAGATGATTGGCACAAGTCCCATAACTCTGATTTGCTCTTTTACATAATTATGCCCCTTATGATTTTTGCCGAGTTATGGCTATCATGAGACACAATACTATGTCTAGTTCTGCATCTCGGTGCATTGCTGTTTTGCTTTTCATGATTTTAATTTTGAAATTTGTCCGGACTACTCCTGTAATACCACTAATGTAATTTCAATGGAACTTTACAAGATTGACCGATAGCTCAAATTCGTGTGCATATTGCACACAGTTTTTTGTTGAATGATTTTTTGCCGAGTTATGGCTATCATGAGACGACACATGTCATCACAGATGTCCCTTGTGTTGCAATAAAATAGAATAATTGTAAACCTTAATAAGTGCAGTGGTTATAGCGTTCAGCTTATAAAAACAGCATTTCAATTTCGAACATGTTTTGAGTGCATTATCAATATGAGTTTATTTCCAAATCATTTTATATAGTATGTATTCATTTCCTCTTTTTTAACAACATTGATTCGTGTATTAAGAGTTTCATAAATGTTTATTCTTTGCTAACTTGAAGGTAAATCATAAATCATAAAAACTTCAAACCAATTATTATTGCACATTTGTTGGTTTCTATTTACACGATATACATGCATATGGCTTTAGTTTAATAATATTTTATTGTATAAATATATACACAATATACAATTTCATAATTTTACAGACATAATCAAGTGAACATACAAAAGGGTTGGGCCAAAAGTTCTAACAACATTATCGTGGGCCATGCATATGGCTTTCTTTGCTCATGATCAGCCATTTATCACCCTATTAAGCTGACTTCAATTATGCTGAATATAAATTAGTGTAAAACTTCATGTTCTCAGGAAGCACTGTCTTAATGAAATGTAACATTCATAAATTACATGTAAATTGAAAAGTAACTAAGAACAACATTAAACGACTTTTTCGGGTCCAACGAACGCTTTTACACACTAAGCATAACCAGGGTCTTTCAAATGGAATCTATTTGAAAGACCCTGTCATAATTGTGTAAGGGTGCAGCTTTTAGAAAATTCAGATTATAAATGTATGCTTTACTTGCGCGGAATTTGTTACTTTCAGTACAATAAAATTGAATTGATAAAGATTTGATTTTTCTCTCAGTCAAAATACCTAATTACATATAAAAAGATGATTGCCTTTATAGCTGAACTGTATAGATGAAGGCAAAATGTGAAGAAAAAAGAAAACAAAAGATTAATTGCCTCTTTTGGGCTTTGAACTTGCACTTTACCGAAACTCAGTGTTTCCACTAAAAATGAACACTTTTTCGGATAGTAGAATTTCCATTAGACAATACTTAGAATTTCATTTTTATAAGATGTCCTTTTTATAAGATGTTCGCTTGTTCTTAGCGGACCTATCTTACCGTTGTTTTGTCAGCTGCTGTCGCGAGGGTATCAGCAGCAGTACCGAAAGCAGCAACAGGCACAACAACAAGTATACGCATAATATTACAATGTCTTTATAGAGTATGTAAGGTGGGGCCAATATTTTACAGATAAAAATAAGGTGTAATTATTTTATATATAAGGGGGTCAGTATCTTATAGAAGAGGGTCAGTATTTTATATAAAATAATGACAGATGACATTATTCTATTGGGGTCACTTTACAACGTTACACCGGCTCTCGGACCCTTATACGGAGAATGGAGCGAAAAGATGATCACTTTCTTTCTTGCATCATCATTACAAACAGAATAATGGTTGTGGTTATATAATACAGAGACACTCAAAAGACTACCCTTCAGAAACAATTACGCTGGTGAAAGTTTTCATTCATATTGTGACGTCACGAACGTCATTTTGTTTAATCATCAGCGTGCGCCAATTCGTGTACCCCTTTTGATTAAATAATTGAAATGTGACTTTTAAATACCATTATATGTTAATTTTAAGTCGGCTATGTTCAAAATGTTAAAATAATACCTTCCTCCTTAATTTGAGACCTAGTTTATCTTCTAAATCAGCTGGCGGTCCATCATAAGACACCAATATACTGTTACTAGTTCCTTTTACCCGAGATGAAAATCCACCCGCAATAGAAAATACAACGATGAAAATACTTAATTGTAAACGCATATTTTTTGAAATACAGATAGTTTTCCAAGCTTAATTTGTCCTCTGCTTAATTTGTCCTCTGCTTAACCATATTAATATTAACGTTTAAATCAAAGACTATTTTAATCAGATAGGATTTTTTTTCAATGTGCGTCCGAACACTTCGGTGACCTTCTAAACAGTATAATATTTTTTTGCTATGGTTAGTTGATCTTATATCGATTAAAACTTCTCACAGGTTATTTTAATTTAGTAATATTGACATCATTTATTTTAAAGATAGCATTCCATACCACTAATGGACAAGGAGATTTCCAGTTACAATGTATTTACCTGATGTGGCCTGTGATAAAAAAACAAGAAAATTTCCATATATTTACCTATAGCCTGATATAAATGACAAGGAAATTTCCATAAATTTACCTTAGTCTGAGATAATGGACAAGAAAATGTCCATATATTTACGTAGCCCTAGATAATGGACAAGAAAATTTCAATATGTTTACCTATGGCCTAAGATAAATGACAAGGAAATTTCCAGACATTTATTTACCTATAGACTGTTATATAGAGCAAGTAGATTTCCAGATATTGACTTACAGATTGTGATGAAGTACAAGCAAAATTCCAGAATGGACTGAAAACAATAAAATAGATTTTTATATATATTAAACTACTGATATATCCTAAAGACTGTGATAATGATCAAAGAGTATTTCTTTTTATTGCCTCACATACTTAGACAAAGGACAAGGATATTTTCAGATATAAAATTTACCTAAGACTAATATAAAGGACGAGGAGATTTCAGACATTTACTTATAGACCGTGATAAAGGACGAGGAGATATCAGATATTTACTTATAGAACGAGATAAAGGACGAGGAGATTTCAGATATTTACTTATAGACCGAGATAAAGGACGAGGAGATATCAGATATTTACTTATAGACCGTGATAAAGGACGAGGAGATATCAGATATTTACTTATAGACCGTGATGAAGGACGATGAGATTTCAGACATTTACTTATAGACCGTGATAAAGGACGAGGAGATTTCAGATATTTACTTATAGACCGTGATGAAGGACGATGAGATTTCAGACATTTACTTATAGACCGTGATAAAGGACGAGGAGATATCAGATATTTACTTATAGACCGAGATAAAGGACGAGGAGATTTCAGACATTTACTTATAGACCGTGATAAAGGACGAGGAGATTTCAGACATTTACTTATAGACCGTGATAAAGGACGAGGAGATATCAGATATTTACTTATAGACCGTGATAAAGGACGAGGAGATTTCAGATATTTACTTATAGACCGTGATGAAGGACGATGAGATTTCAGATATTTACTTATAGACCGTGATGAAGGACGATGAGATTTCAGACATTTACTTATAGACCGAGATAAAGGACGAGGAGATATCAGATATTTACTTAATGACCGAGGTAAAGGACGAGGAGATATCAGACATTTACTGATAGACCGTGATAAAGGACGAGGAGATTTCAGATATTTACTTATAGACCGTGATGAAGGACGATGAGATTTCAGACATTTACTTATAGACCGTGATAAAGGACGAGGAGATATCCAGATATTTACTTATAGACCGTGATAAAGGACGAGGAGATTTCAGATATTTACCTTATAGACCGTGATAAAGGACGAGGAGATTTCAGATACTTACTTATAGACCGTGATAAAGGACGAGGAGATTTCAGATATTTACTTATAGACCGTGATGAAGGACGAGTGAGATTTCAGACATTTACTTATAGACCGAGATAAAGGACGAGGAGATATCAGATATTTACTTATAGACCGTGATAAAGGACGAGGAGATTTCCAGATATTTACTTATAGACCGTGATAAAGGACGAGGAGATTTCAGATATTTACTTATAGACCGTGATAAAGGACGAGGAGATTTCAGATATTTACTATAGACCGTGATAAAGGACGAGTAGATTTCCAGATATTTACTTATAGACCGTGATAAAGGACGAGGAGATTTCCAGATATTTACTATAGACCGTGATAAAGGACGAGGAGATTTCAGATATTTACTTTTAGACCGTGATAAAGGACAAGGAGATTTCAGATATTTACTTATAGACCTTATAAAGGACAAGGAGATTTCAGACATTTACTTATAGACCGTGATAAAGGACAAGGAGATTTCGGATATTTACTTATAGACCGAGATAAAGGACTAGGAGATTTCAGATATTTACTTATAGACCGTGATGAAGGACGATGAGATTTCAGACATTTACTTATAGACCGTGATAAAGGACGAGGAGATATCAGATATTTACTTATAGATCGAGATAAAGGACGAGGAGATTTCAGATATTTACTTATAGACCGTGATAAAGGACGAGGAGATATCAGATATTTACTTATAGACCGTGATAAAGGACGAGGAGATATCAGATATTTACTTATACACCGTGATAAAGGACGAGCAGATTTCAGATATTTACTTATACACCGTGATAAAGGACGAGCAGATATCAGTCATTTACTTATAGACGGTGATGAAGGACGAAGAGATTTCAGATATTTACTTATAGACCTGATAAAGGACGAGGAGATTGATTTCAGACATTTACTTATACACCGTTAAAAAGGACGAGGAGATATCAGATATTTACTTATAGACCGTTATGAAGGACGAGGAGTTATCAGATATTTACTTATAGACCGTGATGAAAGACGAGGAGATTTCAGATATTTACTTATAGACCGTGATGAAGGACGATGAGATTTCAGATATTTACTTATAGACCGTGATGAAGGACGAGGAGATATCAGATATTTACTTATAGACCGAGATAAAGGACGAGGAGATATCAGATATTTACTTATAGACCTGATAAAGGACGAGGAGATATCAGATATTTACTTGTAGACCGTGATGAAGGACGAGGAGATATCAGATATTTACTTATAGACCTGATAAATGACGAGGAGATTTCAGACATTTACTTATAGACCGTGATAAAGGACGAGGAGATATCAGATATTTACTTATAGAACGAGATAAAGGACGAGGAGATATCAGACATTTACTTATAGACCGTGATGAAGGACGAGGAGATTTCAGATATTTACTTATAGACCGTGATGAAGGACGATGAGATTTCAGACATTTACTTATAGACCGTGATGAAGGACGAGGAGATTTCAGATATTTACTTATAGACCTGATAAAGGACGAGGAGATATTAGATATTTACATATAGACCTGATTAAGGACGAGGAGATTTCAGATATTTACTTACAGACCTGTCAAAGAACGAGGAGATTTCAGATATTTACTTATACACCGTGATAAAGGACGAGGAGATTTCAGATATTTACTTATAGACCGTTATTAAGGACGAGGAGATTTCAGATATTTACTTAATGACCTGATAAAGAACGAGGAGATATTAGACATTTACTTATAGACCGTGATAAAGGACAAGGATATTTCAGATATCTACCTATAGGCTACGAAGAAAAATGAAAGTTTTTATATTGATCTATTGACATTTGCCTTCACACTGTTATAAAGGGAATAGGTATGAGTATTTTTCTGTATTAACCAGCAAACGGACATAAAGGACAAGGTGTCCTATAGACTGAAGTAGAATATGATTTGGTACACATGTCTGTGTTTAGAAGTGTCATGTGTGTGTCATGTCAGTATGTGAGTTTGTTCTTGATGTGTCATGTCAGTGTGTGAGTGTGTCATGTCAGTGTGTAAGTGTGGTTCATGTAAGTGTGATAAAAGTGTCATGTATGTGTCATGTCAGCGTGTGAGTTTGTCTTGTGTGCGTCATGTCAGTGTGTGTGTCCTGTTAGTGTCATGTCATTGTGTGAGCGTGTCATGTCAGTGTGTGAGTGTTGTGTCCTGTGTGTGTAATGCCAGTGTGTGAGCGTGTCATGTCAGTGTGCCTGTGTGTGTCATGTCAGTGTGTGAGTAGTGTCATGTGTGTGTGTCATGTCAGCGTGTGAGTGTGTCATTTGTTTGTCATGTCAGTATGTTAGTTGTGCCCTGTGTTTATGTTAAGTCAGTGTTTGAATGTGTACTGTGTGCTTCATGTTGGTGTGTGAATTGTGTCCTGTGTGTGTCATGTCAGTGTGGAGAAGTGTCATGTGTGTGTCATGTCAGTATGTGAGTTTGTTCTTGATGTGTCAGGTCAGTGTGTGAGTAAGCGTCATGTTAGTGTGTGATAAGTGTCATGTATGTGTCATGTCAGCGTGTGAGTTTGTCTTGTGTGCGTCATGTCAGTGTGTGTGTGCTATTAGTGTCATGTCATTGTGTGAGCGTGTCATGTCAGCGTGTGAGTTTGTCTTGTGTGCGTCATGTCAGTGTGTGTGTGCTATTAGTGTCATGTCATTGTGTGAGCGTGTCATGTCAGCGTGTGAGTTTGTCTTGTGTCCGTCATGTCAGTGTGTGTGTGTGCTATAAGTGTCATGTCATTGTGTGAGCGTGTCATGTCAGCGTGTGAGTTTGTCTTGTGTCCGTCATGTCAGTGTGTGTGTGCTATAAGTGTCATGTCATTGTGTGAGCGTGTCATGTCAGCGTGTGAGTTTGTCTTGTGTGCGTCATGTCAGTGTGTGTGTGCTATTAGTGTCATGTCATTGTGTGAGCGTGTCATGTCAGTGTGTGAGTGTTGTGTCCTGTGTTTGTCATGTCAGTGTGTTAGCGTGTCATGTCAGTGTGTGAGTGTTGTGTCCTGTGTTTGTCATGTCATTGTGTGAGCGTGTCATGTCAGTGTGTGAGTGTTGTGTCCTGTGTTTGTCATGTCAGTGTGTGAGCGTGTCATGTCAGTGTGTGTGTACTGTGTAAGTTGTGTCCTTAATAACTCCAGAAGAAATAACTAGTTTTTGTTAACCTTCAATGTTGAAATTGCCATTACAAGAGTCATTTTTCTAATTTTATCATACGAAAGATTGTTAGTATTTTTATGGAGAAGCGGGGTATCGAACTCGCAACCGCTAGACTTGTACACAGACAGTGTTACCACTGCACCACAGCGCCCGCTCTGATTTATACATATTTTGGAAGTCCCTATATACATTAACACATAAGTGACTATGCAATTGAATTTTAACACCTAAACAGGTAATATAGAGTATTATTATATAATCTATAAATAGCTTTGAAATGCCTTTCCATGATTGGCTAACAAGCAACTTTTTGTAAAAAATAACAGAAATAAATAAATAAAATATCCACTGGTTAGGTAGCCAGTGTACTAACCACCTGTCGAACAATGAAATTTTATCCACTGGATAGCTGGCCGCTGGTTAAGGATTTAGCCAGTGGATAAGCTATCCATTGGTTAATTTTAACCAATGTTTTGAACAACCCGGTCAAGTAGGTTAACAAACCAATTAATAAAAAACAAAATCGAGATTTTATACAAATTGATATAATTTAACTAAGCATACCCGAAAAAAACTTCTGTTTATAGTACAGAAAACATAGTTTTAGCATGCTTTCATAGCAAACACACATAACAAAGATCTATTTTTACACGTTGTGAAAATTGGAACATTTTTTAAATCTTATCAAACGAAATTCCATAATTTCAGTGCTAAATGACCATTGAATGCAATATTCTTCAATAAAAAAGTCCTTCCTGCTTGACAGGGTATATTTTAATAGCAATATAAAGTAAAAGACAGGCTTAAAGGGTGCATTGTGGTCTAGTAGTGCATGTAACACTGCCATGAAATCACTAGTTTTTTTATACCTCGCTACTTGAACATCTCGGATATTTCTTGTGGAAACCAAGAATACGTACACATATATTTTAGAGACTTCACTGAGGTTTCATAACATAACAGGACATGGATGTTTTTTTTTCGAGTTTTTTTTTTACAATGTACCAATAACTTGTGTGCAAAATTGTAGACTATTCATTCACTCGTTTTTACCAGAATAATCATTTGTAAAGTGAAAATGACTTAACAATAACAAGCTATTACACGCTTTTTCAATTAAATTCTGGGTATATACATGTATGTTTATAATTATTCTACATATTTTCCCGTTTAAATTGCTCAAGTTAATCAATATCAGGTTGTTTTTTTTAATTTTTATGTTTTAAGCTCTTGGACCTAAGTATTTATCTTGATGTATGTATCCGTAAGGTACTTTCATACCAATAGGTACTATTAGAAACAAATAAATCTGAGGGAGACTTGTCTTAATAAAACTTGGATATTACAAGAGCTGTTTTAAGAAATACGATGTCGTATGGAGACTCTTAATAATCTTTCATATCAACCTTATGAAAAACTTGTTCCTTAACAATTAATACCATTCAACTTACGAACGGCTGAAGTAATGGTTATTTCTAATCAAACTGTTTGAAATATAGTTAAAACTGTTACCCTACCCACCCATCTGAAACACTTATTTTACCAATTTCTTGCTAAAGTGTCCCCCGTAAATTTACTCAATTTTCAAAGTTTGTCCATTTTTTTTCAGAAGTATATGAATAGATTGATCTTGTTAAATTTTAAATAGTTTAACAGTGCAGTTTAATTTAATGAGACTTCAGGTACCAAATTTGTAAAAACATTGCATTAGTTAGCCAATGGATACCAATCATTTTTTCTTTGAAAAGAGGATCTGAATGATACATAAACAATGTTAAACAGGAGGGTCATGATGGCCATGAGGTCGCTCACCTGTATATAGGCCCCCGGATTGGGGCCAGTTAAAACCCCAGGGCTTTTATTTGAACAAACTTGGAAGACACCCATTAGAAGATGTTTCATGCTGTGAAGTTTTTACTACACACATATAATGAAAAACAATGATCTTCCCTCTGCGCCCCCCCCCCCCCGGCAGGACCTATTTTATCCCAAGGGCTTTTATTTGAACAAACTTGGTAGATAGTTAAAAACAATTACAACCCTCGAGCGGGGCCAGTTTTGACCCCAGTGCTTTTATTTGAACAAACTTTGTAGACACTAACTAGAAGATGTTTCATGCTTAATATCTAAACTCTAGCTATTTGGGTTTTTTCAAAGAACATTTTTAAGTTTTTGCTATACACATATAAGGAAAATCAATGACCCCTGGGGCTGGGCCAATTTTGACCCCGTGGCTTTTATTTGAACAAACTTGGTAGACACTCATTAGAAGATGTCTCATGCTAAATATCTAAGCTCTAGCTCTTTGGGTTCTTTAAAAGAATATTTTTTAAGTTTTTACTATATGTATATAGGGAAAATCAATGACCCCCTGGGGCGGGGCCAATTTTGACCCAGGGCTTTTTTTTAACAAACTTGGTAGACACTCACTAGAAGATGTTTCATGCCAAATATCTAAGCTCTAGCTCTTAGGGCTTTTTAAAAGAAGATATATAAAGTTTTTTTCATTCGGTTGCCATGGCAACCAGAGTTCTGCATGGAATGGAATTCTTTGAACAACTTTGTTAAGGCTTCACACAAGGAACATCCCTGTGAAGTTTCATTATGATCTGCCTTATGGTTTCAGAGGAGATGTCGTTGTAAAAGTGTGAACGGACAACGGACGACGTACATCGGACGACAGACGATGGACGAAGAGTGATCCTAATAGCTCACCCTGAGCATATGCTCAGGTGAGCTAAAAAGGAAGAAAGAAAACAAGAAAAAAAATCCACCCTGTTAGGGTTTGAGCCCACAACCTTAAATGGAGTTGACAGTATTTGTAACCTATTTTAATACTCTTCAAAGCGGTGTAAATGCATTAAAATGGTCATACATTCTAACTTGCATTATAGATTACGGTGACGTAAGAATGTGACACAACAAATGCATAGTGCAGCGTGTTGAGATAAAAACGAGGTCAAGACTGGTGTTGATAACGAAAACGTGCATTTCAGTTTTCCGCTTTGTGCAAGTGATCAATTTGTATGAATAGATACGTATTTCTGTGATAAGATTATTTATCAAAATAGGCTATGTTGGCTTAGATTTTTTCTCTAACTTCTATTGTGCATTACTAGATTACTCATTTTCGTATTTTAATGGTACGTAAGGAATACTAGTAGATTGTTTCCGCTGAACATCGCTTAGTTATTTGGACGCTGTCATCTCAAAAGATTTCAGTAAGTTCGTTTTATTTTTCTTTCTGTTACACTGGATCTATCAAAATAAAAGAAAGCATAGTTTAATGTAACTGATATTGATCCATCATTTCAATTCATTGTGACATAAAATAAGAAAATAAAGTTATACTAGTTAGTACATATTATAAATATTAAAATGTTCAGTATAAACAATGTATAAGTACATGCATTAATTGATAATTTCACCATTGATGTATTTGTATCAAGAATCAATTTTAGTGACGAGAAGTAAGCATTTAACATTGGTGTCTGCTTAGCATGTAAGGCAAAAAACGTGTAATATTTTGTTTTGTTTTAAAACATGGCCTAAATTTGAAAAATACCTTTTTTATTCGATATCTTCTTTGGTATTTTTAGAGTTACAGGAATTATTTTACTCGTTATCATTTATTTCTATAACCTCCCCTGTATAATTCTTTTCCTGACTGATTTCAATAAACAATCAAACTATTAGATATTTCATAATGTTAAATATATGTATAATATTTAAATAATCGTCAGATGTGAAGCTTTCCATCTGTTTATGTATCATTTTTTAAAGACAATTCAGTGGCAATACTTAACAAGGCTAAATGGTTGTGCACCATAAAAGCTGTTATAATTCAGACGGGCGATGAACACATTTGATTCTTCAAGTATTTGTTTCACAAAATATTTCGAGATATGTTGGTAAGAATACAAATAAAGCAATTTACAATAGGACGGTTTAGACGAGCAATACACATATCATTGGAATGGTAAACGACATGATTAAATGACTAAATCATATCGATTTTAATATTTTAGTTAACCTATTATATGAAGAAAAAAAGGCTAATCGGAGTTAAATTCTAATCTGGAGTAATTTTTAAAAAGATGCAACTGGCCCCATGTTTACAAAGAAAAGATCAGGATGAAATGATCCTGGCTTTATTTTCATTGCTTTATCAAACTAAAATTGATCATTTTTTCTAGAATTGAATAGTACATATTCAAAATGTAAAACAAATGCGTATTTGCAAAGAAACAAATATGAGCCGCGTCACGACAAAACCAACATAGTGTGTTTGCGACCAGCATGGATCCAGACCAGCCTGCGCATCCGCGCAGTCTGATCAGGATCCATGCTGTTCGCTTACAGACCCTATAACAAGTAGAGAAACTGATAGCGAAAAGCATGGATCCTGATCAGACTCTGCGGATGCGCAGGCTGGTCTGGATCCATGCTGGTCGCAAACCCATTATGCTGGTTTTGTTGTGACGCGGCTCATATGTATTTGGATAAATCGACGAATAACAAAACAAATACAAAAATAATCTAATCAAAATATTGATCAACTTTAGAATTAAAATCAATATTTGGATCAACTGTAAAATGCCATTATCTTGAAACAAAATAACAATACATTTATTCTTAAGGTTCTCAAACATGCTATATCAAGTCCAAGTTGATCAAGTTATTGCTTAATATTTGAGAAACAATGGAGAATATTTGAGTTTTTAAATTTGATCCTGATCTTGATCCTGATCCTTAGATCTTTGTTAACACGGGGCCAGGAGTTTTGTCTATAATTTATAAAAAGCTACAATGATCGCTGCCAGAACAATGGACTGCAAATTTTTAAAAAAAAACATTGCCAATAAAGTCATCCTCCTAAAATATTATTTGTACTTTATATTGATCCTGTTTAGTCGTTCGTAAAAACAAATTTTGACTTATCATTGAAAGAAACTCTTAGGCGAAATCAACAACTGTCTGAGTGTGAACAGTATTTTGTTTCAATCAAACACATATACGTGTACACAATTAAATTACAAGAATTGAGTAGAAAAGTAAAAGCTTATCAAGAAGCTCTCTCGGACTCCTTGAAATAAAGCAAATATTATTAATGGAAATGTTTATATAGAAACAAATATTTTAATACACTTGTTATTCTTAGAAAAGAATATTTTTTTCAAAGAACAGAAATGATTAAAAGGACAACTCAAGCAATTATCAATATATCAATTGTCCTTTTGTTTTACATTTGCACTTCCCACAAACTTAAAGCATGTCATGATAATTTGATAATTTATGGCACTATTTGAGATACCCTTTGATGAGGAAAAAACTCCGTTAATCCTACCGCAATGCAAAACTACTTTTAGGAAAGGTCAAGGGATAAAAATCCCATGCAAATATGTTTAAAGGACACATTAACCTCTCCATGTCGTTTAAAAAGGAGTTCCACTTAGGTCAAAAAGGCTAAAAACATAAAATTTGAAATTCCTATATAGATTAAGTGAAATACTTGAAATGGAAACACTTTTCAAAGGACAAAAAAGAAATGCTAATCAGTTTTGGTAATTTTGCATCATAAAAATGATTATACTGAAGAGGGAATTATCTGAACACACGTTATTGGTGCAAATCTTCACCAAATTATATACAAATCTCGGGCAAATATTTCAAGTCCCGTCATGTCAAAAATTTTATTGAAGTCCTTTTGATGTGCTGTATGTCTTTCATAAAAAACTAACATCAGTACAGATAACATTCATATCAATTTCAAACAGTTCAATAAAGACATCAATGCTCTGAACTATGTATTCATTTTCAGTATATTGTGTTGTGTTTTTAAAGATAAAAGAGTTACCTCATAAATGCATTTACATACTTCAGTCAAGACAAGCTCTTTTTAAACATCCTGTTTTGATAACATCTATCACACGGGCAATAAGACATAGAAGCTTAAAGTCAGACCTGGCTAATATTGTTAATTTGACGTTGAAATATACAGGGACAAAAAGGCAATACAAACAATCAAAGCAGAGAACAAAAACCCAGAGTAGGATTGAAAAAATGAAATAAAATCATAATGCTAATAAACTATAGTTTCCCTAATTTTGCAAGGAGTCAGCAGTTTTGTGTGTTCTTAAGGCTAGTTGCAAAGAAAAAACCTTTTTGGTTTATTATATTTTGAATCTTAAACTTTTAATAATTTTTCAATATGGATAAAAAGTTTTGTTGGTTGAAACCTATTTTAACCTTAAGTAAACTTTTAAAAACGTTTGACATCGCTCTTTATCAAATGCAAAGTATGATTGTGATAAGCCGAACAACTTAAAGGGGACAGGGAAGTAATAAACCATTCTTATGAAAAACTTGTATGGACAGGTGAGAGCTATTTATTCAAGAGTGGCAAGCAAATTACCCGTCGCAACTACTTGAAAAATCCAAACTAAATCCGAAATTAATTGACATCCTGAAAGTCAGTCGGCCGTTGTCACTGACAGTCTCTATTATGATGATTGCATTGTCATTTGTTTTATACATATACTAACAATTGTCTCCTGGTGCAGTCACGTTGAAAACAATGTGAGATAATCCTTTTTTGTTTTATCATTACAGCACGAGTAAAATGTATTCATCAAACGCATCACGTATGCAGGTGGCTGTTGGATTATTCATTGTCATAATCGTGCTCTTTTTATTGATTCCGAACAGAATCACTAAATGTGAGAACAAAAAAAATTATATAAAAGAAACACCAAAAGTAAGGGAAATACCAAAAGTTAACACAGAAACCACTGAAAGAAACAAAATAAAAGTGACACAGACCAAAGAAAACAAATATCCACATCTCCCGTATAATGTTCAGAAGGACCCCAACTTTGACTACAAGAAAGAAACCGAAAAGTTGAATAAAGAAAAGGTGAAACCGGACGACCCGCGTTTAGTGAATTTGATAAGGAATTATTATATAGAGCCACCCTCCGACAAGCCTTACAAACTCGCAGAGCCGAACAAATGGGATTCTTCCTATGGTCAAGCTATGTTTGTTGACGGAACGTTACAAAATATGGCAAGTTATATGTGTATATACCGTTTTATAAAGGAAATATGATTATGTGGTGTTAAGACATTATACTCTCTTAATTGAACTTGCATAATTGATAAGCTAATATCATTGTCAAAAGTACAATAGAATGTTTTTTATTTTAGCCCTGAAGTGTTAATACTTCGTTTACTTATGCGGTTGCTACCCTAACGGGTGAAATCTAGTCTATGGCAAGGCGTTTTTATTTCCTTGAGCTGAGTTGGCTTTATATTTCAAAAGATTGATGGTGTAATGAAAATCAAAATTAAATATAAATTTGTCTACACTGTAAAAAGACTGTCCCACGCTTTTTATTTATTATGCATTGCAGGTAATTCTAGTGGGTATTGATATAAAATCTTTGGCCAATGTCATTTATTTATCGTTCCTGCAAAGTGTATTATAAGATTTAAAGGAATAACGGCAAAATGGAAACTTATTTTGACTTTCACTGTTCACTCACTTTATACTATTGGATGGGCGTAATTTCACTCTTATTTACAGGAAGGTGGATTCTTTGTTGATAGTGGGGCACATGACGGGGAAATACAATCAAACACGTTGTTCTTTGAGAGACGCAGAGGTTGGACAGGTATTCTTATCGAGCCCCAGCCAAAAATCTACGAGCAATTAAAAAGCAAAAATAGAAAATCATTCACATTAAATGCATGTGTTAGCGTAGTTCCATATCCATCTACGGTAAGATCCCATTTATTTTTTATAGGAGATATATAATATCAAACCACTTGCCCCTGACCACTGCGGGTTCGAATCTCGCCAGAGACTTTGAATTCTGTCATATGAGGAAGCTATCCAGCTAGCTTACGAAGGGCAGTGGTTCTACTCAGGTGCCCGTTCAATAGTGCCTGAAATGATTAGGGTTGCTTTCAGTGAACGCCGCCTTTCCTTGTTGATCTTGTCTATCGTATTTCATCAATCAGTAAAGCTGGAATGTCACTATACTCGTATGACCTGTACTGTGTTGGTGGGACATTAAACCGTACCCAATATTACATATACTGATATGTTTTCTAATATACCTCGAGTAAAGGCACAATATTCCTAAGAAAGATTTTTTTTCAATATTAAAAAAGACAAAATTGAATTTTTTTTAACATTTAAACAATGGTTTATGGACATGTTAGATGTTTATTACCTGAATAAAATACTGCGCTGAATATGAAATCATTTGTCATTAAAGTAGCAAATTATAAACAAATTTGTTCGACTTCCATACAAAATACATAATCGTTTTAACTGCTCTAATGGTCAGAAAACCAAAGGAGCAAAAGAAAGTTCAGGTATATAGTCAAAAACTTTAACAAGACAACAAGTATAAAATTAAAAAGGTTTTGAAAATGAAAATAAAAGCATTACTTGTGCATGTAGTGGGTTATTATACCACAAATACTTTTTTATTAAATAACATGTTATTTAACAAAATAGATAAAAGGAAATCTGTGCGATTGCACATATTGAATAATGCAAATTTATCTTCGGTAAGGAAGTAATATCAATATGTAAATAATGGTATGAGATAATGAAATGATCTCGGCCATGACCTGGACCTTGAACTTGTGTCTAGTACAAACCTCACTGGTTAAGAAATGTGTATGCTTTCGAAATATTATCTTTAAAATGGTGTTCCTTTATTATCAGCTTTTGTCTATATCTTTATTTACACTCGTTTAAAAACGAATGTTTGTTACCCAATGCCAGGTTAATTGTACTAAGCACTTACTGTTCTTGAATAAGGCTAGATTAATTGTCTCTCATTTAATTGGTTATATTATGATTAACAAACCAATTAAATGAGAGACAATTAATACGAGTTAATCGTATGTTTTCGTAACTTACATGTTAACCTCTCAGACGCTTTATAATCACAGTTGGTTAAGTTTTATATTACCGCGACACAGAAAACTAATGACAGCAATACGTAATTGTAAACGATTTGAAATGCATTGCTTTGCTAAACAGTCACATTTTTCTGGTTTCATACAGTTTATTTTCTTCGATAATACTAACATTTAAGTCGAGGGTATCCTACTCAGCATTTGACATATTGCATATCATTTAAATTCGTTTGCTTCTGAAATAACGCACGGAGTGGCACCTGAGGTCTTCCTCCACAAGTTAAGCTTTAAGTCACCATATGACTTATACTGTGCCGGTGCGGCTTGAAACCAAACAAGAAGTATCTTTAAAAAAAGGTACTCGGCCGAAGTCAAACTTGTTAATTTGCATAAGATAAGGTACCACTGGCCATGTTAACCGCAAACAGAACATTTTATTCGTCCTCAATAGTTTTATTTCAGTTCATTTTTACCCGAAATATTTTTCCCCGTTAATTGCCATCTTAGATTCAAACAAAATTACTTACATTATTTGATTTTAATCAAAATGGAATTTGATTTGAATAGGAATATATAATAAAACATTTAGTAGATACTGTATACTAATTCCACGGAGAATTTTGCAACTGTAAATTAGTCGAAAGTGTGTTTCAATCGTCTTATGCCCTGTTCGAGAAGAGAATATAATGAATAGAACAGCTTAAAAGAGGAACCTAATCGAACAAAGGCGATTTGTCATATGTAATTTCGTTTATTTATTGAAAAGCTGTTAGAAACATCTAGAAAATATCATTATTGTGTTTTTATATTTATTCTGACTTATATCTTCTTCCAACACTTCTTGCCATCGAGCAATCGAACATACCTATAACGGAAGCTCTTCTAAAATATCAATCGAACAGGCTATAAGTGTTAAAATGACCAATGAAAATTCTGCCTATATTCATTTCTTTACTGTTAATTTTAGCGGAAGTCAAGATGAAATCAGACGGCCTTCGGCCCAAAAATCTTTTGATCAATCATATAAACAATAAATACATGGATGTGAAAAGGTTTTTCTAGACATAAAGAAACTTTGAAGTTAATAAAGTTCTATGATTGTATTTCATACAAGACATTTTCATTTTTCACTTCCTGTGTGATCGTTAGAGGCGTCTAAATGGGTTCGAATTATTATAGTCTAGGCATCGCTTAGCTAAAACACGTGACGTGGTTCTGGCCCATTGTAATGCTGAACGTTTGTAACATCCGATGCAAACAAAACCATCTTTCCTGTTTCTGCGCCATATTTCTTTTACTGTGTTGGTGCGCCGTAAAACGAAACCAAACAAACAAAATTTGCTCTTTTTGTAAAAGAACGGAAACAATTTAAACATTGGGGTTGCTTATATTTGAAATAGCATTGATTTTTGCTTTCTTTTCTTCCTTCAATATTATCAGATTTATGTATACGTCATTTACATCTATGTTGTATGCTAAATTCTGTTCTGTAAATTATTATGTAAATTATTCACGCAATCAGTTAAAATCGTCTACTTTGACATATTGATGCACTTTTATTTGACGTTAGTCAGAAAGCTGATTTGGAGATAGTCCTCTCCTTTGATTTCAGGTTAAATTTCTACCGACATCATTCTACGGAAAGATGGTGGAAAATAAAACTAGTGAAGATGAATGGACAAAGAAAGGATTCAAAGAAATAACCGTACAATGTTTCCCTTTGTATTCAATATTACTTGCTATGAACCAATTGACTGTTGACTATTTTAGTTTAGATGTTGAAGGAGCCGAGGAGGGAATACTCAACAATATACCTTTTGAAAAGATCAAAATAAGAACTATCTCTATAGAGTATGATAAATTCGAAGGAGGCCATGTACGACTTAGAAAAGTAATGGAAAGTAAGGGTTTTTCGTTTTTAGTAAAAATGGATTCAATAGCAGCTCTTGACAGCATTTTCATTAAATAGAATATTCTAAATAAATTATGCTTAGTAACCATAAGTTTACTGTTGGCACATATACGATGATAATGTTTACTTTGTGTTGTAAAGTTGTACAAATTGAGATTTGCGTGTTTGCATAAGTGTGTTTAAGTGTGGTTTTTGTTTTTATTTTTTTGTTGTTTTTTTTTTGGGGGGGGGGATTTTTTGTAAACTATCTGTGAGTTGTGCTTATTTGTATTTGTATTTTGTTGAAAATTGCGTGTTTGTATGAGTGTTTTATTGAGATGTCTGTGTTTGTATGAATGTTTTATTGAGATGTCTGTGTTTGTATGAATGTTTTATTGAGATGTCTGTGTTTGTATGAATGTTTTATTGAGATGTCTGTGTTTGTATGAATGTTTTATTGAGATGTCTGTGTTTGTATGAATGTTTTATTGAGATGTCTGTGTTTGTATGAATGTTTTATTGAGATGTCTGTGTTTGTATGAATGTTTTATTGAGATGTCTGTGTTTGTATGAATGTTTTATTGAGATGTCTGTGTTTGTATGAATGTTTTATTGAGATGTCTGTGTTTGTATGAATGTTTTATGAGATGTCTGTGTTTGTATGAATGTTTTTGTTAAGAGTTTATGTATAAGGATGTGCGTTTTTATAAATTGTGTTTTATTCCGATGTGCGCGTGGCTGTTGGCTTATGGTCTATCAATAACCTACACGAGTTTGTATTGTTTTTATTGAGATGTCTGTAGGTATGTATTAGTATTATTGAGAAGTTTCTTGCCGTGACATTGTATTTTATTGAGTTATGTAAGTTGGCACGAGTCTTATATTGTCATATATGGGTATGCCTTTTGATGTGCATGTTAATTACATGAGTATATAAGCATATAGAAATTATATCATTCCATATATTCCACGATATAGCGTTATTTAGGTTAAGATTAAAGTGTCTGATATTTGTCGTAGGATTTTTTATATGTATTCATATTTTTTTTTACAATTTCAAGACATCAGAAATCAGAACGGAATATACATGTAGAAACGATTACAGAGATTTTTAGTTAATACATTTGGTATTACACACAACTAAAGGTTCTTGAAAATATCAAATGTTAAACTGTATTTATATGATGGTGTACCGCAATTTCATATCTTTATACGGCATTTATCGTACATCTGTTGTAAGGTTTACACAATTGACGTTTAGAAGATAACGATTGCATATATATCAAACCTGTATCATTCTCAATAACACAAATCTACTTGTTGATCTTTCATTGTTGACGAATCATTCTCTGGTAGTCTCTACTAGCAAGCAGTGTAGACCATTCATGATGAGACGGCACGGAAAGAATAAAATGTGTTGCCGCCAACAGGAACAGGGTTACGAAAATTGTGGGAGAAATGTTGTATATCTTTATAGTTATAGCTTGTAGAGAACAGTAGGCCTACAATATAATTCTTTCATATTTGCATTTATAATAGCTACACGGCCAAGTGCATGGGCTGTACTTATATACATGCTTTTAAGCACACGTTTTTGAAGACTAATAGGACAAAGTTTCCTTACTTTCCAACATCAAAGTAGAATACAAATGTACTATAACAAAACATTTTATTTTAAATTTCTAGAAAGTCATATCTGCTTAAGGAAACAACAAATAATCACTCTAGTCGTCGTCCTTGAGAAAAAACATTGTCGAACGATTGCAATATTAGCTTTTGGATATAAAAAAAATTGTTTTTTGTTGTTGTTGTTTTTATGTTGTTTTGTTTGTTGTTTTTTTTGTTTGTTTTTTTTTTGTTTTGTTTTTTTAGGGCGGGGGTGTGGGTTTTTTTTATCAAATCTTCACTTCAATAATGTGACTGCTCTTTCGTTTTCTTCATTGATTAGATATAAGGTTTTTTTCATATAGAATTTTAAAGACCCTGATGATAATTATGTTCATATTATGTACTTGTAAATTGTTAACCAGTAGTTGGTAACTCGTTACCAGCCCTTGGGAATAGCGGAGACTTTGACCAACAGCATTTAAATAGTAACATCCCATCCCCTGACACCGCCTTTCTTAAATTATGTGCATTGCAAGTTGAACATACTACAGTGTTACTTCCGAATTCCGGAACTTCTGAAATCCGGAAACTTCTAAAAACCGAACATTTTTTTCGGTCCCGATTTTTTCCCTTCTATTTTCTATTAATATAATACTTCTGAATTCCGGAACTTCTAAATTCTGAATTCCGGACGATATTTTCGTAAAATTAGAGTCAAATCAATGCAATTTTACCTCCAAAATCCGGAAATATCTAAAGGTGTGAAATACACTGTAAATCGAGAATGATTACCCTGCAGGAAGATTTAATCTCCCTGTCGATTGTTTACTAATTAGCGGTGATCGTGTAATTTGACACGCGTTAAAATCACAAACTGTGAAATGGTATGTTTGAAGTGATGCGGTCAATTAAAGTAATTTACGGCGGTCAGTTAATTTGAAGTGTTTATTAGCGGATTAAATGACAATTAATTGGGACAATGTGTGCATCAAACGTCTTTAGGGATTTTATTGCATTTGATGTACTAATTAATTAACTAGCATCGGACAATATGTAAGTTAAATAAAGTGTTAAATATCAATGTTTTCTTTTCCTTCACATCTTTATCTTTATTAAAAGACTATTATATATGTTATTACAGTAATGGCCACATTTTCGTTGACATTTAGTGACATTTAGATCTAGTGGCTTAGTCTTGTCCACATTATCCGAAACCTCTGAATTCCGGAAACCTCTGAAATCCGAACTTTTTGACAAGACCCATGGGTGTTCGGATTTCAGAAGTTACACTGTACTGCTATTTTGACGCTATATGAAAACCATTAAATTGACCCGGCAGAACTTTTGACAAACGGAATGTAAAATGTCCCTAACGGCTGTGAAGGCTATGACATGGCTTACAGTTGACTGGTGCATCATTATTGGAAATAATAATCCCTCTTTTAAGGGTATAGTTTGTCTCATTGAACATTATGGCATTCGTACATGGACACTATGTGTCTATATGCCGTGCACTGTTTATGACTTGTGTGTCCTTAATGTAGTTTGTATTAATATAATTATTATTCTACATTGTTTATGTTGCTTTTTTCTGTTGTTTTTTTTCTTTATATTTGCGAAAATTATCTTCTTTGTTACATTGAAATAAGAGGGATAGCTTATTAACTTAAAGTATACAATTCTTTGTTACAATATATTTTCTCTTGAAGTAACTGTAATGTTATGTAAAGTTTCTCATGAGATTTTTATCAGACAATTTGCGGATATATACAGAGTTTGGATTTTAAAATACTGTCTTAAGAAGTTTTGATTGTCCAGTGAAATATTATAATCGTGAATGAACATATAATTGGAAATACTTTTCTGATGCTTAGACTCGAATTTGTTCGCATAAGATATGTTACAGTAATGCATTATAAAATGCAGGTAAAGTTGTGTATATAAATAGGTTTTGTTATATAAATTAGATGCTGTTCAACCGATGCTTTTGTAGGTAAGCTATTTCCATAGTTATTAAATAGCAAACCATGAACAGACTCAGTCTCACTGGGATTTTAATATATTTATTTAGTTGTTTATAATTATTATTATTATTATTATTATTATTATTGTTATCGTTATCGTTATCGTTGTTGTTATTGTTGCTGCTGCTGCTGCTGCTTATGTCTGATATGTCTATTAAAGGATCATATTGGTATTAAGTACTACAAAAATTGCTACATTTGTATTTACAAACAGGGTGTCGAGCAAATATAAACACCTGTTTTGATTTGCATAAGAATACGACTAATATCTTTACATGAATTATTCATATGTTTTAAAATTCAAAGGATGTAAAGCTTGCTTGATCCTAAATAAAACAAATATCTTAAATGAACTCGTCCATCTTTCAATCTGGACATAACCATTTATCATTTTAGGGAAGATGTTGAAATATTTACGGACTGAATAGAATACAGTGCTGTCTATTATCAGACGACACGGATCGGCTGATATTGGTCTGCACTGAACGCTTGGATAAAATATATTTTTGCCAGCAGATTGGGTTTAAATACATGAAGTTTCGAAAACGATATAATTGTGATGATTTATATTCCAATTGCCTTATCTGGGAGAGAGTTTAAGCAAATATATTTTGTATATTTATGTGTTTAAAATAGAAAATTTATGCCATATTAAGTGATTTTATCAGGTATAGTGCAAATAAGGGTGCTTTGCATTTCGTTTCGCAAGAGTTATTATTCTATTGCTTCCTAAGCCTTTGTTTTATGTATTTTCTTATTATATGCTATAATAACTACAGGATATTGTCACAAGGAAACACATCACTGTATTACTTATATAGAAATATAATTTTGAATTGGCTAATACTTGGTGAATAAAAGATTTAATTCCTGTAAGACTCTTAAAAAGAACCTACACTTTCCATTCTATTACAGTGGTCCCTTTACTTCACTTTTGATATAGGCATTGCATCTTACACATTTGACATGTTTAGCTCCTCTTTATGATCCTTTACAAAGTACTCCTTACATTGTAATTTTTATATCTTCTTGTAAGTTTATGTAAGGAACTAAATGCAGGTACAATCAACTTTAATTACAAAAGCTATATTATGTTGTTACAAAAGAGAGTTTCATATAAGCTTTAAGCTTTTTACTCAATCCTCTATGCAACTTAATTATTGTAATATTTTTTTAAATATGGGATAAGAAATAAATATTGCTTAAACCATCTGTATATATCAACGCACATGAATTATATAAAAAAAACAGTAAAGTCCCTGCTATTATTCGCCTGTCGTGCGCATTCTCAAACCGCTTTATCGGTCGAAGTTAAAATAACAATTATTATACCATGTCGACGTCAGTACTTTGATGTGATTTTATAAAGTAATACCGATAACAGCTATCAACCCTTTGAGTTAGAGCCAAATGGTTATAAAAATAATGTTTGAAAACGACAAAAATGCTCTACGATAATTCATGTTAAATTTGAATTTTTTTTTCAATTTTCTGCTTTGTTAATGAAATTTATGGCAAAAAATGAGTTTTGTTGCTCAAGTTACAAACATTCTAATTTGATAACTTTTATTGTTATACTGGAATGTTCAGACAAAATTATG